CTGCTTTAACAATAAAAGCACAAACCTAGAAGCTTAAAAACACCTTAAGTACCGAGTAACTTATAGCTGCAGTGGAACTTCATTCGTTTAATATAAAACTCCAGAGTGAGATTAAAGCAGTCCAGGAGCTGAACGAAAACAGCAGAATGAAATTAAACCCCAAAAAAGATAATTAGAAATTATTTATGTCTAAAAAGCAACTGAGGAGAAAGTAGATCACTTTACTCACTAGTGTACTCCAGTAGAGGTGCAAATACTATAACTTAAAAAAAAAGACAAATCCATCAAAGGTAACTCTGGCCAAAAATGAAAAATGTAACCATTGCTACAACTGTTATAAACATGTTTACTCACATCCTACAGCAGTGCCAGAGTAGTCTGTAAAGTGAGATTTTCCAGTTTAAAGACTAGGAAATCCCCCTTCTGGTGATGTATATTGCAGGAGGAAGTAAATTTTTAAATGGTCCTTTTAAGCGGTCCTTTACTGAGGATATCAACTGGAAAAGGGCGTGTCTTGTGCCTCATAAATACTGTATGTCCAATTAGATAAAAGAAGTTCACTTTAAAATTTTACATAAAATATACCCTGTGAATTCTGTTCTTTCCAAATTTGTTGACATTAATAGCTTTTGCTCCTTCTGTGGATCTGCTGATGAAACTTTGACTCACCTAACGAATGACTTCTGGTCCAACTTCTGTGCTCACATTTTTAACCCTGTCAAAATGACTTATTCTTTTAATCTCAAAGATATTGTTACTACAATAACTTCACTAACAAGCCTCTTGAGTATATTGTTAATTTTTTCATTCTACATGCTAAATTCTTTATTCATAAACAGAAGTTTTCAAATTCTCAGCCAACCCTGTCCCTCTTTGTAGTGGAATTTAAATCACTACACCAGTCCTTACATCTTGTAGAAACTAAGAAAAGTAATAGATTTTTGAATTTCTATGACCAGCTTTATGGAGAGACACTTGATTAACTGGCTTTCCTCCTGTGTGTGTATATGTGTATGTTTGCATCCTTCTGTACTGTTCAAATATTCTTATATGGTGTCTGATAATGTATTGGTCTGACGTTGGTTGTATATTTCGTATATATTCTTTAAATTAAAAAAAAAGACTACGAGTAGTTTGGGATGAAGGCGGGCTGTTTGAAATTGATTTCACTAGCTAAGTTTTACCAAACATTTGACAAAAATGATGGTTAGTGCTGTATTGCTAATGCCAGCTAGCACTGCAAAGGTATTTATTAGCCTCTAGATCAGTGGTGTACAGCCAGGATTTGTTGAGCACCAATTCTGTCAAGCCGCCAAGGCTGAGGGGTGCAATGCTGTGCCAAGTAATGCTTTATGACCTGACAAATAACATATTAAATGCTAGTTTTAGGTCAGAACGCCCTTTTAAGTACATAGAACTGGGTTGCTACACCTCTTAGCACTTGTGTTCAAAAAATGACCACAGACAAAGTGAACAATATGAACATTTATTTCAGGAAAGAAGTTACAAAGTCTCCAAATTGCAGTAAACCATCAGATTACGATAAATATGTTAGCAATCTGATTATGCTCAAGTACAATTAAGATATAGGGCTATGGATTATTAAACTTGATTAGTTTTTCGTTTTATTCTGCAGAGGGATAAATGTGACTAGGATAAAAATCTAATTCTTGACATACCTGTGCACTGGAGTAGTATACCTTAACCTGCACAGTATAAAACTTCAGAGACTGCAGTTTGGTATCTATATGTACATGACATTGAGACGTGTTTTGGAAAAAAAACACAATGACCCACAAGACAGAGACGTGAGTTTATGAGCCAGTATTTGAGGAAGTTTAAACCAGTCCCATATGATATAGTATCAATACACAGCCAAAGAATCAGAGGGGCAGGAAAAGGAAGAGAAAGAATTGAATTATAGCAGAAAACATGGGAATTAAGTGCTGGTACAAAACCAAAAAACTCATAATTGCTGTAAAATGAGCATAAACAGGGTAAAAATACAGTTAAAGGTACATGGCATGTTAAATCCATCACATTATCAGTTTCCTTCTCATGCATAATTAAATGGTTAAGATGTAAACAGTCATTCAGAGTGGTTTGGTGTAAAATGATCTGTTGTAGACAAACGTACTGAGTCAGAAAGGTTTACAGTGGTGGTGATAGGACCCAGACAACCTCTAACAGCTCAAGAGCAAGTTATTACATGAAATATTTTTTGAACATGCTGCCTCATGCCTGAGACATTGTTTTATGATGTTTTTGTTAAACATTTTAAGAAGGTTTTGACTTAAAACATATTTTTAAAATACATTCATGGTGGAGGGGTACATACAGAGCATTGTGAGGCAAAACAGTCCAGAAAACTGCCCCCCCTGCCCCCAGATTTCCCACTATTTTACCATCATCAACATTACATACAATAACTCAGAAGACACATGTAGGTTCGCTGGTGGTTTTGGATAGTAATGGCTATGTTTGTGTTGCAGACATTACAACCCCTGATTTCCATCACCTCCACTGTAAACAAATCCGAGACAGTAAGTTTCTCTACAATAAACCATTTCACTTCAAACCTCTCTGAGTGACTTTGTTTACATCTCAACGATTCAATTATGTTGAAATTTTGAATGACCGCTGGAATTCCCCTGGGGTGCTGGTGCGAATTATTGATAAGTGAAGGCTTTAGTGAAATGATGTGACTCAGAAACTGTACACTAGTGTTACAGTGTTAAGACTCAATCAATACTGTATACAATGAATACTACCCATTTATAAGGTTCTTGAGTTTTAACCTTTGTATTTTGCTTAATTTCACTGAATTTATGCCAAGCTAATCAAGGTTCCAAGTCTTAGGGCTGCACAATATATAATTTGTTCATTTTCACCATATTGGCTTTTGAAATACTGATATTGCAGAAGGCTGCAATACGCAGATGAACTTCTAACCAATCACAGTTCCAGATGCGTTTCTGTGGCTGTTTTGATCATTTAGGGTATTCACCAGATCCAACCAAAGTAAATAAAAGTGAAATGATGCAGGCTGATCTTTAACCGTGGCTCACTGATTCACCAGTGTGTTCTTAATATATTGCATTGTATTTAACAATATAATCACAATACTTATAGGTCATATGACCACGTGGTATGTGGCTGAGAAATGTTTGCTCTCTTTCATTGAAGATTCACTTAAGGGGAATTCCAATGATTTTTCAAATTTTCTGTATAATTAAATGGTTAAGATGTAAACAAGGACATTCAGAGTGGTTTAGTGTGAAATGCTCTGTTTTAGAAAAACTTACCAAGTCAGGATTGTTCACAGTGGTGGTGGTAAGAACCAGGCGCCCATCTCTAAAAGCTCTCTTACATGCAGATATTTCATGAAATAGTTATGAATACGCTGCCTAATGTCTGAGACTTTTTTTTTTAATGGTACTTTTGAAGATTTTGGCCTAAAACATATTAATGCATTCATGGTGGAGGTGTTGTGTGGCAAAAAAAGCCCCTAAAGAAAAAGTAAGTTTTCAGATACTCCACTATTTTACCATCATTGACATTACATATAAAAACCCAGAAGTGTAGTGTCACTAGTGGTTTTAGATAGTAAATAAAATGTCTATATTTGTGTTGTAGACATCATGACCTCTGGTTCCTATCACCACCACTGTAAAGAAACCTGAGTTGGTAATTTTCTTTACAATGAACCATTTCATATTAAAAACACTCTAAATGACTTTGTCTACATCTCAGTAATCTAAAATATTTGAAAAACTGGTGGAATTCCACTTTTAAACTGCTAAATCTGTGAAAAAAGTGGATTTTAAAAATACTTTTTGGGGCAAAACCTTCATGAAACAGCATCTCAGATACCAGGCATCACTATACATCACTATTTCATGTAATAGCTTACTGTGAGAGAACTTTTAGAGGTAGTTGTCACTACCAAAGTGAACAATTCAGACTTGATAAGTTTCTCTAAAACAGAGCATTTCACATCAAACCACTCTGAATGACTTTCTTTACACCATAATCATTTAATTATGCAAAAATGATGAAAAATCTGTGAAATTCCCCTTATAGATTTATAGAATACGACTCTGCATGTGATGTACCTTTAAAGACCTGCTTAGACATTAAACTTAGACATTTTGCCCAAAAAATTGAAAAAAAAAGCAAAGAAATGCATATGTGCTTTAGCCCTTTTTGCTCATGGAACAAAATATGAGCGAGACAAATGAAAACAGCAGCTGGTTCATCCTGGTGGGATTGAGGAGAGTCCCCACCAGTTTTTAATAAATTAAACAGAGTTACAGCATAAATATAGCTGGCAGAGATTTGGAAAGCACACACACATACATATACATGTATATATATATATATACATATATATATACATACATATATATATATATATATATATATATATATGTACACACCCTTTACTCTGCTCTAGCTCTTTCATAGTCAGCAGTGGAGGACCAGTGTTATTGCAGAGCAGTAAGAAACGCTCTTTAGAGTGCAACATTTGTCAATATCGTTAGTGTCAAAATCATAATAGTTAGCATAATCTTCCATAACTCAGCTCATCAACAGAAACGCATTCATGTAGGCGTAATAATGCAAAAAAAGAAAACAAGAAAAAGTATAAGATGACTTTGTTTTCTTCAAACATCTACATAATTTAATCTCCTTTCCAATTGTCCAAATGCTCCTAAGTGTTCATTCCTTCCTCAAACACCTTTAGAACAGAACACGAGGGAAATAGTATGGCTTCACAAGAAACAACATGATGGACATGGTAGTACAGGACATTACAATTATAGAACAGACTGATTTAGGCCCCAAAAATGAATGCAAGTCCACAGGAACTTTCATTGTTACATCCCCTTTGAGTGAGAAAGCTAAATTGGGGGGAAAAAGTTCAGCCTAACCACCAGTATTAACCCACCCCATTCTACCAATAAGACCTAAAAAGTATAGAGATTTTTTTGTTTTCTTTTTGTTTGTTCTTAAATAAGCAACTGGCCTACAGTTTTTTTAAAAGCTTCAGTATTTTAGGACTATGTTCACATCTGTAAACGTTTTTTCCCCCTTAACCTTCACGGAGTTTCAAAACACACCCTCAGCTGCAGCGCCGGACGTGTTCCAGAACATACTCTGGAAAGTGCAAGCTGCACACCTGCAAGCCGTCCAGTTTGCAAGGCATCCGGGGATATTCATCCTCCTTCCACTTGTTCTCCTCAGGATCAAAGGTCAGTATAGAGTCGCTGTAATGGCCGTTGTAGCAAAGTCCGCCCAGCACCATGATCTGCTTGTCCAGGACTGCCACACCATGCCCACTTCTGCCAATAGGCATGGATGCCAGGATGGTCCACTCGTCTGTTTCTGGATTATAAACTTCTGTGGATGGACAACCCTGCGACTCGAAAGATGCACGAAGGATGACGCACACTCCACCGAAAACGTAAAGCTTCCCATTGTGGGAGATCATTTTGTGGAAGCAGCGGGCATAGTTCATCTTTGACTTGTTTTCCCAGCAGTTGGTGAGAATGGGGGTCCGGCGCGTGCGGTGCTCAGATGCACCCTCACGCCCGGGGTCGAAAACGCACACCTGCTTGGAGGTGGAGGACGAGGTGATGCCTCCAGTGATGTAGAGTTTTCCGTTTAGCACCGTGCCTTCGTGACCATACTTGTTGACTGGATACGGGTCAACAAATTCCCATTTGTCCTCCGCAATGTCGTATCGCTCCGTGGAGTAAAACGTTTCGTCCCGTGTGCGGCCTGCCACAGCATAGATAAACTTTCCAATCACGCCCACGGCAAATTCCGACCTCGGCACCGACATGTCAGCCATCCGGAGCCAGGAATTCTGTCTAGGATCATAGCGGTACACTTTCGAAGATGCATGGAACTCTCCATCCGGCCCGAGCTCCTCGCCTCCCAACAGAAAAGCAAAGTTGTTGACGATGGCCAAGCAGTCAGGCCGAAGTGGCACCTGCGGACCCTCCAGCTCCCACCACACTTTGGGACGGTGCAGAAGCAGGATCTTGCTGTTGACCATGCTGTGGCCGATCATGCCCCGAAACACGGCCGTCTGCGGCCGCACCGAGCGAATCCGGTTAGCCTTGGTGTCGGCCAGCGGCTGCTCATTCACAGCATGGAAGTAGTTGAGGGCCTGGTCCACCTCCTGCCTCAACTGACGAGAATAACGATAAAACTCAGAGGTCTTCACCTGCAGCGACAAAAAAAAAAAAATAATAATAATAATTATTAATATATAGATGCACTGAAATGGGAATTGTGGACAAATGTCAATTTCCGTATGATATTTTTGTCATGTACCTATCTGTCAATACATAAACTTTTATGAAATGTAGAAATTGGGACTATATCAACCTGGATTACAGAGCATTACAGAGAAATATAACATTTATTTCTATAAAGTAAGAGATAAAGTTATAATACAATGTAGATGTGTTAGCAGAGTGACCCAGTGTCACATAAACATTCGTAACTTAAATGTAATATCACACTACAAATAAAGAATTCAATTAAAACAACCAATTTATAATACAATGCAGATATTTTAGTGGAGTGACCCAGTGTCACATAAACATTCGTAACTTAAATGTAGTATCATATTACAAATGAATTTAATTAAAACAAAAACAAACATGCCAAAGCAATGTCAACCCAAGCCTCAACCATAATAATCTTATGTTTTTTTTTTAATGAATATTACCAACAACAATGGCAACAGTAATCAGGCACAGGGACAAAATAGTAATAATTAGTTTAAAAAAATAATTGGGCCTTTGAGGCTTAATTTTTAAATAAATAATGAAAAACACCGCTTGAAGCATTTACCTTTTCAAACACTTGTGTCGGGGTCATGAGGCAGAAGCGCAGGTTCTGTACCACAGCATCCGTGTGCCTCCAGCGGCGGCGGTCGTGCCGGAGCCAGGCCTGCACAGCCTCATACAGCTCTATCTCGGGGAACCGGCTCAGCTGGTCGCTGTCCAGATATGCCATCAGCTTCTCCAGGCTCAAGTAGGACAGGAAGTCAGGCCGGGCCATCAGCGGGACGAAGTTCTCCAGCAGAAAGGCGTCCAGCTGCTCCTGCACGCCTTCAACGCCTACGCTGAAGTCGTCCAGCAGTCGCATGACCTCAGCGCAGTTCTCTAGGCAGATCTTGGCCAGCAGGAAGGAGCAGCAAAACTCCACAGCCTCAGTCAGCTGCACGTACATGGCGGCCTGCAGGATCTCCTGCACCGTGGGCATGCTCAGCTCCAGAGAGCCGTAGTACATGAAGCGGAGAACATGTCCGAAGCCGGCCGCGGTCAGCCCCTTCATGTGGATCTTGTCCTGGTCGCGTTCCCGCATGTCGGCCGTGAACATGACCCGGAAGTAGTCGCTCTGCGTGGCCAGCAGGGCCTTGTGAGCCTAAAGATGAAAGTGAGTGATATGTTACATCAATACTTTTATTAATGCTACTTAAGAGCAATCTTGAGTTTGTGAAAGGCACTATATGTGTAAGAATCTTAAATATGCAGTTATCATTCAAAAGCTTGTTTTCAATAATAAAAAAAAAAAACCAATCTATATGTATGAATGTATGTATATATGTATAGCTGTTCTTTTACATTATGTGAAAATTTCATGATGAATGGACCAACAGAAATGCTCTAAAATCAATTGGAATAAAATCTCTTTACACTAACTAACACTGAAAGGTAAGAAGGTTTTTGCCTTCTCCTGTAAAGTTATGTTGGAGAAACAAAATAACGTGCATAATGTGCCGACATCCATTACTACACAAGCATAGTATTATGCAATGACAATACTGTACTATACTGTACATGGGTCATTGTTGGCAGTCTCCTTATAATTAGTCTATTAATCTGTATTTTTTTTATGATCCATGCAGTTGTTCAGTGTTCTAGAAACACTGACCATACCCATCATATACTCAGAAAAGAGCATTACTGAATAGTATCACTCTGTAATTCATCGTGATAACTATAAAATATCATCATATTGCCCACTCCTACCTGAAAGTGGTGCTCTTCAATCAGCAGTGTGACGTCCAGCAGCAAGCGCTCCTCGTATAAGGCCCGGAAGCCTGAGGACACGCTCCCATCATGCACCTGAGACAGGTACACCTCTACATCCCCCGCCATCAGGCACCTGCAGCAACACAGCGACAAACACCTTTTAGAACATTTAGAACATTTCAGACAAAACAAATCTCTACAACATAGGAATGTAAAATGTTTTATTTTGAAGGTTTCCAAAATAAAAGTCTCAGGCCATTTTAAAAAAAAAAAAGAAAAACCTTAGCTGTTTGTATTGTTTATCATCTATATTGTACTACTGTGTTGTACTACATTTGTTTATTCTGTGTATTTCAAAAATTAAATCTGAATCATAGTAAATAATCAAACTGAATTAAATTGTGGCAAAAAGTGAGAATGGAATTGAATCATTTTACAACAGAGATTTACACCTCTACAAAAAAAAGCAATGGCTTTGGATTCATATCAATACATGAATGAGACAGAGTGAATTTTGAAAAACAGGTGGAATTCCCTTTTAATTCATCCATATTACTGTAAGATAAAGATACACAAAACAATAAAGTAGACAATAATAAAGTATAACCTAATATTCCTGGGGATCTATATATATATATATGCAAAAGTTTGAACACCTTTTTGTTGAATGACGTTTTGATGATTTTTAAGTGAAAATAGGTTAATACATCCAGAGAACAGGCTTAAATATGACATTTTTCTTCAGTGCACAACTTCTATGTATTTGCTGATTTTAACATATTGGAAATAATAAAACAAACGGTTTTAAAATAACGGGTCAAATTTTATGTTTTTTCCCCCCAATATGTTAAATCCTGCATATAAACACTAATTGTGCATTACTGTTAAATAAATAAATAAATAAATAAATAGCTGCTACAGAAGCTTTTGGAAGGACTTCAAGAACATTCACACCTCAGCACTTTGGCTTGTGTTGTTCAGAGCCGACTCTGCTTTGTCTCTCACCCATGCACACGCACTGCACACTCACCTCTGATTGGCCACGGGCATGTCACAGGAGGGTGTCCGAGCCAATCAGAGGACAGTGCCCCTTGTGTCCGCAGAGAAAAAAAACCTCTTTTCTGAAGGTATTCACCTGAACGACAAGTTGACAAATATGCACCTAAATGACAAAAATGGCCCAAACCATTACAATGATGTGAAACACAGAATTCATGATAGAATGAAAACTGCCAATTATGTTGCATCAACCAAGCCTACATTTTATTTCTCTATTCACATACAGACATCCAAGAACACGATGAAAGCAGCTCCATTTAAATCTCTGTAAAAGTGTTCATAGGGACTATTAGCATAAAAGTAAAGTTTAAAGAGCTACATGCAGCAGTTACATGCAAGGTTATTTCATTTAAAGATTTTATTCCAATTTTAATATGTTGTTTTCAATCAATTAATGAACAACTAACATCACCCAGACACTGTATTTAGTATGGGTACAAACAAATAATCCAATATTTGTCAATGTTTTCTGACTTTCTTGTGACTGATGATTTTAAGGAGCCAACATCATTTTATATTTATACTTTAGAGTTTATTTTTAAACAAGTTTTAGTTAAACAGTGCTTTAGAGACAGATATGACAGTCACACTTCTTAAACTCCAACAAACGGCAAAAACTTAGTCTTAATAATATATAGTCGCATGCAGAAAGTTTGGGCTCCACTGGTCAAATGCCATGTTCTGCTGATTGTTGAAAATAAGTTGAAACATCTTTTACAAAGAACACTTCTGCATGTTTTAATATACAATTACTGTTTATCTGCTGAATTTAACATACTGGGAAAATAACACATAAATGTGGCTGAGGCTAAAATTTTGGCACATTTTATATTTTATTCTTTCCAATAAATAAACAGAAACTGCATTAAGATTTGCAGGATAAAATGTCATAGTGAAGTATGTCCTCTGTAGAGAATGTTTTATCTTATTTTCACATAGAAAAATCAACAAAATGTAATTTGTTGATAAAACTTTTGCATACTGGAGGTGGAGCTGCTCAGAATGTTTTGTGGTTTTGGTTACTGTTAATAATTTTTTGTATTTTTCTTTTTGTTATAGGGACCATTCTACTGAATTAGTTTAAGTTGCGGTTCCACAGTACAGGTACGTATTCAGACCTTTGATATTTATCACAACTGTGCTATAATCTATTTAAAACCCAAGGACAGTAATAAGCTAAATAAATACAAAATGATTATTTATAGGGTACCTTCTATTGGGAGGTGGCTGTCTCAAACCCTAACCCTTAAATTTTAACTTGTGAAAATGATACTTTTTTTTTTTTTTAAATCAATTTTTTATCTTTTTGATTTCTTTCAAAGTGATGCTGAAAGATTTAGATTCATCTTGAATTTAGTTATTAAATGAAAAATGTTGTCCCACGTCTCTGCCAAATCTCAGAGTTTAAGTCGGTAGGTGGAACCTTATTTTAGCCACACCCCAGCATTTTACAGCAGAAACTGAGACTGCTAGATCCCACTGTTTTGAAATGTGAGTGTGTTACACTAAGAATTGTCACTACCAAAATTCAATGTTCAGTCATGTATTTTAATAAAATAAACATATTTAAGATATTGATTCGTTCAAAGCAAAAGGATTTTGGTCTATCAACTCTGACTTTGAGCCAATTCTGTAAACTGATCCATGTAACTGTAGTGCTAAAGTAGAAATCTATTTAATCTCCATAAACCTGTTTACATCCTAAACACAGTCACTGGGTGATGCATGCTGGATAATGATGTATTTAATGAAAGCAATTTATTGAGATGATGGACTTTAATTGAAATAAGTTTGCATGTAGTTGCTTGAAATATATGACAGTTTTACATACATAATTGGAAAACAGTTTCTTACAGTCTGTCTTACAGGGTATTATTTTTTATTCTACTTAGACAGTATTATCTACAAGTATAAGAAATTTGAAACAAAATGAAAGTGTTGGTACCTTTTGGCGGCCTCCTGGCCGGTCGGCGGCTTCACTGACAGCGTGCTGAGGGGCCGCTCACATTTCCTTTGCTTGTGCTTCCCCTGCTCTGAGGTATGAAAAGCACAGAGAGTTTATTACTTTGCCCACAAACCGACTCACAGATTTTTCACAGAGTTGAAAAACCACACTGACATCTCGTTAGTGGTGAGTGTTTACATTGAACTAAAAAAGAGCATGCTGCATTAAAGAGCCCATATTCTATATTTTTCTTGTATCTCATTATACCCCACTGAGGTCCACTTATGATATATGCATGGTGTTATGTACCAAAAATCATCACAATTCATTTTATGTAACCATTTTCATCCTCTGTTCCTCCCTTAGAATTAAACAGGCTGTTTCTGTTACTGCTTCTTTAAAGATTGATAAATGTATATCAATATACGATATATATATGACCTCTGTTCTGACTGACTGCACTGCAGTGCATTGTACCTCCTTAAAAAATAATTCAGTGTGAATGGGCAGGGCTAAACTGATCTAGGCTGAATAGACAAATAAATGTAAATGTTCAGCAGGACTGGAATGGATTGGAAGGTTAACAGTATGTTTTAATACTTTAAAAAAAGTTTGCATACAACATGGAACTTTTTATTATTACAGAGGAAAATTGGAAAATTTGGCTTTCCATGATACGAGCCCTTTTACAGTTTATCGGTACTCTCTATCTGTGAGAAACCTTATCCAAAGATATTACACCAAACTATCAAGCTCATGCGAACATCTTATTATAACCCCCCTATTACTGTTTAAAGCCAATATCCAGCAACCAGGCTTTGACTTCATGCATATTATACTGAAATGCAGGTAATCATTTGATATTAGACACACCCAAACCTCAAAAGACCAAAGAACTTAACACTCCACACTTTATTACAACCCCCTGATTACTATGCAAAGCTCCAGCAAACAGGCTTAGACTGACCTTGCGCACATTATACTGAAAAGCAGTAGTTAGTTAAGTGACCCTTATTAGTCCCACAACAGGGAAATGCAGTGAAACACCACATGCACACTAGTGAATGCACACACACTAGGAGGCAGTGAGCACACTTGCACAGAGCGGTAGGCAGCCCTATCCACAGCGCCAGGGGAGCAGTTGGGGTTCAGGTGCCTTGCTCGAGGGCGACCTTCCAATCACAGGGCTGGTTCCCTAACCTCCAGCCCATGACTGCCCCCAGGTAATGTTAAAGGGCCCATATCACGGAAAAAGAAATTTCCCTTTACTTTTTTGAAATTAATAAGTTTGATGTAGCCTGTCAACGCTGTTAAAGTTTCAGACTGTACCGTTCACTCTCCTGTCCATATAAGGAAACTAAGCTGCAAAACAGCCCATTTTCAATCCAGTGTTTATGTGATGATATGAAAACCAGCACATTCAGTATCCATCCACCTATTCATTCTACAGATTTTATGTTCTGCCCATTCAAACTGATGTTTTAAGGAGGATTTTCAGCCTGCAATGCTTTTTCAGTGAGACAAAATGCAGGGCAACCAATCAAAACAGAGCTAATTTCCATATAGCAGTCTTTAAGGTACAGTAACAAAGAACAGCCTGTTTATGAGACAGAGGTTGGAATTGGCATGTAAATAAAAAACCCATGCAAACGTTTTAAGTGGACCTAAAAAAAATAATTCAGAAACTGGATAGCAGCCCTTTAAACACCTCCAATCATAAAGGGAGCATAAAGCCCCAACACATTCAGATACACAGTTTATGATACGCCCCTCCAATTCTATTCATAACAAGAACTGATCAAACAAATATGCACAGAAAAACCAAGATTCACACTATATTATAAACCCCTATTTGCAAAGCAAAGGTTCAGTAAACAGGGTTTGACTCCAGTCATCAGACTTCATGTACTTGTATGTATGGGCAAACACATGTAAACATAAAGAGAGCTAATAATCCCAACACAATCAGATTCACATTTCACTCAGACTCACGTTATTAATACTCCTTTATCAAAAGTCCACTTTATTATAACCCCTCAGAGCAAAGGTCAAGGCCAGGCTTTGGCTTTGTAACACTGCACCATTACATTGGTATAACTATGTTGTGTAGAATAACGTTAAATACCTAAAAGTATGATATCAAACACCTGCGAGCACGAAGAAGGCAAAGAATCTCATCTTCCACACACTTTATTATAACCGCTTATTGTAGTGCAAAGGCAAAACGAAGCTGCTGACAGCTTCTTATTTGAAATTTCCGTTCCACCTTGAATAGTGCGGCAGCTACATTCTGGTGCCTCAGGTGCCACAATGTAACCGCTACACCATTTAAGGTGGAACGGAGCATTCGAATAAGAAGCCAACTTCAGCCTCGTCTTTGACTGACTTTATGCATCTCATACAGAAACGCAACGCACGTAGGTGATACCAAAGACCTGAAATGGGCCACAGACACCGGACTAGTCCCGCTGGCTGACCCTCTGGTGACCTGACTGCCCTGAGAGACTGTGTTTTGTTTGAGATGTGTCTCCGGCTTCTTTACCTCGGCGGTGGGACTCCGCGCAGCCCCGCTTCGACCACGCAGCCCGGGGTCCCTCCGACATGGAGCGCCGCTCTGTCTCACACAGGCTCCGCCTGAACCCTCATCATCCCAGCTGACACTTTAGTCCTTGTGCGTCTCTAAATCAGGCTTATTTTCGGCTGGATTTCAACATTGTGTTTGCCTGCAGCCTTCACTGCCATCCTAGACGCCATGTTATGGTCTGCACTGACGTCATTTCCGGCAGCAGAAGCGGTCGGGCGGAACTGTAGGCGGTAAATTGAGCGCAGGATTTAGCAGCAGTTTTTAGAGTTTAGTCGTAGAAATGATCAATTTACGTGAACGGGAATGTGTGTTAGGGATTCTGTGGACTGTTTGGAAGATATCAATACATCGTCTGACACGATCCAACACTTCTTGCACCTGTTTTTGTTTAGCCGCTAGCTTTAGACCTGAGGGGCCCAGTTCGGGTCTTGGAGGATTGCAGTCCACCAAAGTTTTGTCATTTCCCTTCATTTTATACGGAGCCCCGCTGGTGACAGCCCGCATAAATAAAAATAATGCGTGGCTATGACTTAGTAAGGCTTAGGAATGAGATGATTAAGTCGTGGCCATGACTTAGTAAAGAGTGGGAACGAGATCCTAATGCGTGGCCACAACTTAGTAAGCCGTGATCTCGTTCCCACGCCTTACTAAGTCATGGCCATGACTTAATCATCTCATTCCCATGCCTTACTAAGTCGTGGCCACGCATTAGGATCTTGTTCCAACGTGTTAATAAGGCGTGGCCACGCATTATTTTTATTTATATAGGATGTCGTCATCGGGGCTCCGTAATTTTATCCTCATGAAGGAAAAATATTAAAGTGTGCAACGCAAATAAATAACAATAAATTACATACTGTGTTATTCAGGGTTGGGATGTAACACAAAGCAAGAATTGCGAATACATACTCAGAATACAGGAATTAAGTATCTGTTTTCAGTCCAAGATACATTTTGAAAAGGCTGTCTTCAGAATACATTTACTTTTTACATTTTTTGGAGAATCCTTTTGAATACTTACCCACTAAATTTAAAAATATGCCATCAATGCTTGTTTATGAACTGTTTTAGAATCAGTATACAGCACAGCATTTAGCAAACATGCTTTTTAGATGAACTCTAAAGAGGAAACCAATGTGCTGATGAGTTATTAATCTCAGCATTATTGAGCTCTTTGGAGAGATGATAAAACAAACAATTTCTTCATTTGTGGATGTGTTTGCAAGGGATAAGTTTAGTTGTTCTGGACTCCTGCTCAGGGGAATGAAGCAGGCAGTGAGAGAGAGAGAGAGAGAAGAAAGCTGACAACCAGAAACAGCAAGGAACAGTGTGAATTAAAAACAAAAGGAGGCACATCCTTTCCAAGATGCATTGTAAATGTATTCTAAATACGTTACTTTTCATGTAATGGAATACATTACTGAATACATTTAGGACAGTGTATTCAGTATTCAGCCATAACTACTTTTTCAAAGTATTTTCCCAACCCTGCTGTTATTTCAGGGTTTGATCAGCACTTTTTAAATATGAGACATTCTGGATGTTAATATAATTAACGTTCTTGATGTTCTACAGCTTTCTTAATCCTTATTTTTTTACAGCTTTGTGCTGATAGAAAAAGACTCAAATAGAGTATGGGCATGATATCAGCATCATTTTATACATATATAAATGTTATCTGCATCTAAGAAGCTTTTACGTTTATGGTAGTCATTTTTTTACATTTTTAAAATGGTTCTTTGTAGAAGAAAAAATGTTATCTGCATCTAAGAAGCTTTTACGTTTATGGTAGTCATTTTTTTACATTTTTAAAATGGTTCTTTGTAGAAGAACTTACAGAATCAGATTTCTTTACATTGGTGGTGACAGGAATCAGGGGTCACAATGTCTACCACAACAATATACCCATTTTATCTATTTACTATCCAAAACCACCAATAAACCCACACATGTCTTCTGAGTATTGAGGATGGTAAATAGAGGTAAATGTGGAAAAACACATAGTTTCTTTGGTGACTATTTTGCCTACCAATCTACTACATATACCTCCCCACCATGAATGGATTTAAAAAACTTTTAGAGGTCTGGTTCCTATCACCACCAGTGAACAATTCTGAGTCAGTAAGTTTCTCTAGAACGTGTTTGTTTACATTTTAATGATTGAATTATGCAGAACATTTTAAATTTCAGTGGAATCCCCCTTTTAATGAACACGTATCAGCATACAGAGTGTTTCCCAAATTGTGATCAAGTGCGGTCAACCTGCACTGCTTTCGACCCATTATACAGATCTCATGTTTTCTCTGGCGACAGTTGCTGATGGTAATGTTCTTCAGGTGTGCTTCAGCTAACTACTGTAGTTCATAGATAGGCAGAACTGTTTCTCCTCAAGGCTGGAGGAAATTCAGTAAGAGACGAAGTAGATAAGACATAGGATGTTCATTTAGTTATTGGAAAATATGCAAATGCATGTTTATTGCAGAAATCCAAATTTTATTGTGCTGAGGCTCCACATAACAGCGGTCACATAATATGGTGAATGATCTGGGAAAAGAAAAACCCAGGTTGAGGTTTAGAATTTCAGGGCATGTTATTTGGGTAGAGATGGTCTTTGGCTTTGCATTTCACTGAATTTGAACTTCCTGAACAGATATCTGATGAATGTTTGTATGTACTAAATAGAAGATGAGAAGCATTAAAGGGAATTTCATTTTAAGTTCTGCGTAACTCAATTACTGAGATAAACATCATTCAGAGTGGTTTAATGTGAAATGGTTCCTGGTAGAGAAACTTACCGTGATAGGCACCAGTGGTCTCGATGTCTTCAACACAAATATGTAATGTTCATGATGGTAAAATGGTCATAAATGCTTGGCATGTACCTCTCTATCATGAATGGATTTTACCTTTTTACCTTACCTTTTCAAAACTATTAGAAAACTCTCAGACATCAGGCAGTGTATTCATAACCATTTCATGTAGTAACATTCTGTGAGGGAGTTTTTAGAGGTTGACGTCTGGTTCCTATCACCACCACTGTGAACAATTCTGACTCTGTAAGTTTCTCTAGAACGTAATATTTTGCACCAAACCACTCTGAATGACTTGGTTTACATCTTAACCATTTAATTATACAAAAACAGTGGAATTCCTCTTTAATAGCAGATGGGATAGTTGATTATTTGCTGACAATTGTGACTTAAGTTAGGACATGGAGACAATACTTTAGCTCTGTAGCACTGTCCTTGAGTACTGTAATCTCCCTTTCAACTGAAATGTAATTGTAGTTTGACTGAAATGTAAAAAATGTAGTGTTTTTAAGCACTATTTAAATTAAAGGCCATGAAGTGAAGCATATTGTAATATTATTTATATTCTAGCTATCATCCATCTATCTAAGATTTTCTAAGAGATCTGCTTGCACTTTAAATGGTTATGAACCTCTCTCATCTCACTGGACTTCAATAGAGTGGTTTACTGCTACGTTCAAGAGGTTTCAAATGAGTGTCTAAACTCACTTGATCCAGTTGAACACAACTGTATAGCGTTCATTTATTTGTTACTCCACTCACAGCTGTCTTGGGTTATCTCCTGCAAGACCGCAGTTCCATTTGAGGCCAATTTGCAGAAAGTTCCGATGTATTTATTTATTCTTTAGCATGACCTTGTCTGACTTCATCTGCTCAGGTGTAAGAGGTTCTCCAGAGACTTCTTGTATCTCCAGAGACTGGGCCTGTGCAGCTAAACTAGAAGACTGCAGATAGAGGAGATCACAAAAACAACATTTCAGATTCGTTACAACCAAACTTACATTATTCACAACAAACACAACCTGTATATAATTGTAAATTACATCCCTTATTCGCCTGGTGTCTTTGTCGTGTAAATGCCACCTTTCCTAAATATATAGACACAGTAGAATTTATGTAACATTTATGCAAAATAAGAATGGATTTAAATTAGTAGTATTTACTTGGTATTATAAATATGTACATATATTTGATAACATTAAAAATATATGTACAACACACAAATCAGACATAAAATTAAAACCACCTCCTTGTTTTTACACTCATTGTCCATTTTATCAGCTCCACTTACCTTATAGGAGCATTTTGTAGTTCTCCTTTGTTAGGCCCCTTTGACCCTGTTCTTCAATGGTCAGGACCACCACAGAGCAGGAATTATTTGGGTGGCGGATCATTCTCAGCACTGCACTGATACTGACGTGGTGGTGGTGTGTTAGTGTATGTTGTGCTGGTTTGAGTGGATCAGACACAGCAGTGCTGCAGGAGTTTTTAAACAGCTCAGCGTCACTGCTGGACTGAGAATAGTCCACCAACCAAAAATATCCAGCCAACAACATGGACAGCTTCCAGTGTCCACTCATGAAGGACTAGAGGATGACCAACACAAACAGCAGATGAGCTACAGTCTCTGAACAGGGTAAAAGGGGGCTAACAAAGTATGCAGAGAAATAGATGGACTACAGTCTGTAATTGTAGAACCACAAAATGCGCCTATATAGCAAGTGGAGTTGAAAAAATGAAGTGGTTTTAATGCCATGGCTGATCGGTGTATGTGCTATATATGTGATATTTTATTATAATTGTGCAAAATATATATGTTAAACATTTAGAAATATCTTATGAACGTAACACATATTTTGAAAAATATATGGAAATATATTTTCTTTGCAAGCAGCATAATGTGAATTCATGGTTTATACACATTTATGCATTTATGCACACTTATATTTTAAAACTTTGTCATCCAGGTTATTCAAAGAATATACTTAGCCATCAAAAATGTGAATTCTGTTCTTTAAGCAGCCGACTTTTACAATGTTTTACATTTTTTTCAACAAAGAGTATACAATTTACAACCATCCTGGACATATTTTAGGAAAAAATGTCCTTTTAAATACAATAACTAGGTAAGAGTGCAGTGTTTTTAAACATGGGTAGAAAAAAACGACAAAAAAATGGACTACACAACTATAATGCCAAAAACTACAAAATTGATGACGCCATTCACACGAGACGGACCCTTGTCGCTATCGGCTTCATCCTCAACGTGTTTCAGAAATCGCACAGGTAGCTTATACATTTCTAATATCGCGCTGTATTGATGACTACGCTCATTTTCCTGCTTTAGGTTAAGACACAACTGACAGAAAAGCATCCAGTAGTCTTTTTATGTATATTCGTGTAGAAACACATGGTTCCTCATCACTACGTGCCTATATTGCATCATCCACGCCTGTGTACACGACCCACGAGTTTTTACTTTTTTTGTATTCATACGTTATCTATTTTAAACTGCTTGGTGAATTTGGAGATACTGCCTTTTGTGGTGTATTTACAAAGTCCAGCCCTTTTTTAACTGTTGAAACATCTTTTTTTGTTTGGTGAAACGTTCAGGCAGCGCACGGTCACCTTCTCATTTCTTTTCCTTTAAGATGGCGGGTGATGAGGGAGTAACGCTGGGCCAGCCGCATCTGGCTAAACAAGATCTCAGCACTTTAGTAAGTGAATTTATTTACTTTGTCAGTGTTTTATCTGATGTTGTCTTCGTTTGTGTCCAGTCTCATGTCCGGGTTCAGTTGTTTTGTGGTGTAAATCCGTCTCCACATGACTGACTGGCAGATAGAGGAGCGTTCAGCTTCTTCTTACTGTGGTTTTTAGGGGAACCGGTTTAGTTTAACCTCACTCCATACACTTTTTTCTGGTCAGTTTTATCCCTAAAAGCACGGGCGTTATAATGATACAGATGTGAGGGGTGGATTAAGCCATATGAAGCAGCAGTAGTTCTGGATGGATGAATGGAAGCCCAACAAAACCATAACGTACGTTAGCTGGTTGTGGTTGACCATAAGACTAAAATGTTAACCCTACCTATATTTACTACTGGACCTTGCACAAATGTTCAAAATTTATAAATAATTCAATCCTTGAATGAACAGATTTATTGAGAGTGGTTTGATGTGAAATGGTTCATTGTAGAGAAACTTACAGACTGATTTCTTCACAGTGGTGGTGATAGGAACCAGGGGGCACAATGTATGTAACAAAAAATATGGACACTTTATTTACCATGCAAAACTACCAGTTAACCTACGTGTGTTTTTGTATGGCGTGTTGATGATGGTAAAATGGTGATAACAGGAAAATCTGAAAAAAATGTTATCTTTTTTTGTCTCACATCACCCTTCATCTACCTGTCCACCATGAATGGATTAGAATAAATAGATTCAAATACATTTTAAGCCAAAGCTTTATCACAAAACTATTATAAAACAAGGTGTCAGATGTCGGGTAGTGTATATATAACCATTTTGTGTAATCATTTTTGTAAGGGGGTTTTTAGAAGCATTAAACTCTTCAGATGTCTGGTTCCTATCACCACCACTGTGAAAAATTCTTATTTGGCACGTTTCTCTAGAACGGAGCACTTCACACCAAACCCAACCATTGAATTATGTCATTTTTTTTTAAATTTGGTGGAATTTCCCTTTAATTACTTGAGGGCTGCCATACTTACACGTATGTGCAGGATTGTTTATTTTCTATAATGTATCACTTTTGGCCCTCAAAGTCGCCAGGGGCCCATGAATGTGTGACTTAATTATATATATATATATATATATATATATATATATATATATATATACATATATATAAATTTTCTTTTTTAATAATGCACTGATTTATTCATTTTTATGGGGTTTAGATTCCATTTTGGCCGATGGCTGAGATTTATTAGATGTAATAACACCTCTCCAGTACTTTCTGTTAACCAAAGTCACAGAATAAACAACACTGTTTGGTCTTTAATCGGCCAAACTGCCATTTAAAAATGTTCGTTTTAAAAGTAGTTAACTATTTAAATAACATGAGTCAAAGTCTTACTTTGACAGTAAGAGGCAACTGGATATTTAGACCCATGAGCCATGTGTAATTACGGTATGGCGTTTTGGTACAGGCGTAGCTGCAGCACTCAAATACAGCTCCAGTGCACTTACCTGCTTTGTGTCATTATATCATAAAATTACATCACAGATCTACCAAAATAAAAACAATAAATTACCTGATCTTGGCTGATTCTGATCATGATTGTGCATCCCTATTAATATTAGTTGTCAAAAGCGCAGTGATTCCAGAGAGATTGTCACAATGTTGCTTCATTAAAATTAATGAAAAGTATTAATTCTTATTTGTGTACACAGAATAATGCATTTGGTGTGATTGGGGTGTGTGGGCTGTCCAAATGGCCATCCATTTGGCCCCCAAATGTTCAGTAATGGCTCTGGATAAATGTGTATGTGTAATGACTTGTTAACATTTCTCCCTGCAGGATGTGAGCAAACTGACTCCACTCTCACAGGAGATCATCAGCAGACAAGCCACAATCAACATAGGTGGGTTGGTGGGGAATTATATTGTCAGTGTTGGAACAATACCTCATATCTGTTTGTTTTTTACTCATTAGAAAGCCCCAGCTGACCGTTACATTGTGTGATGAATAGAAATGATTCAGAATTACATGGTAGAGAACCTGGTCGCATTAACTGATATTAAAATATAAGGATAGAAGTCTTTCTCCTGTAAAGTTACCATTTTGGAGAAATAGGGTTTTGTTCCAGCAGTAGCTGTTTGTCTGCGTGTAGCAACATGCTGACCTTCAGTGATAATAGTGGTGATCAGCTGATATTTTCCACATTTTAGGACAGTTAAGCTGTGTATATGTTAATTTTGTCAGGATCATTCAGCAGTGACTATCAGTAAATATTTCTTCACGGTGTTAAGCATTTCTTACATTGCATGCAATTCTGTAATGTTAAATGTCTCCTTTTTTTTGTTAACATTCTTACCTTTTCACGTTTCCACATTTAAATGCACAGTGTTTACTAGTAAACGATTTGTTTCATTAATTGTTTAAAAAAAACATTATGGCACCTGTATATGCTATAGTGAACAAAACAGTTTGTGACTGTATCAGACTGTGAATGTAGAATTTATTTGACCTAAAATTGTGTCTTTCTAATTTCACTACAGGAACAATTGGTCATGTGGCCCACGGGAAGTCGACAGTGGTGAAGGCAATTTCAGGAGTTCACACTGTCCGATTCAAGAATGAGTTGGAGAGGAACATTACTATTAAGTTGGGCTATGCTAACGCCAAGGTGAGTAAAACTGCCTCATTTAAGTGCTGATATGCAAAAGACCATCTGAAAACAGCAATGAGCTGATTCAGCTTAAGCTTGAATCAGTTTATACCCCAGCATATGTCTCTTCAAAAGGGCTTATGTGGTGGCAACAATGCTAAGAAATGCTATTACAAAGACGTATATATTCACATCATTACATATGTTAGGAGTCATACCTAAGGCTAATTTCACATTACTCGGTTGAGGTGGCACAAATCTGATTTTATGTCGCACAGATCTGATTTTTTTTTCAAAGCTGTTTGGACACAAATCTGATCAGAGCTGAGCAGCTTTCATATGTGGTTTTAAATTGGATACATATTCAATTCAGGGCCACGCGACCGTAATGAGGGTGGTCAGATCGAAATTCATGTGCTTTTGTTTTTGTTTTGTTTTTCTCCCTCCCCCCCACATAGAGATTTTAGTAAGATTTTAGTTTTCAGATTTTAGTAATCAAGGCTTGTTCTGCTGGTTAGTTTGTTTGTTGTTCATGACTCATGTGATGTCACTGCTGTGATCAGAAACAGATTTGAGTCACTTGTCTATGCAGATGTATACCATTGAGTAAAAAAAAAGAAAAAAAGATCGGATCTGAGCAAAAAATTGGAATTGGACAGTGAGGTTTGTAACATGGATGTAGCCTAATACAGTTTTTTGTGTAAGTGATTTCTCTGATACAGTGCATGAATTACAGAATAGCACTGGCAAAGTAGACATTAGCCACCTACCTACCACAAAGTCCAGAATGCTGCTTTTTTCTAATATACAGAAATCCTTATACATTTCCTTTTTTAAAAGCAGTATGCATTTATGCAGCAGATAAAGAAGCAGGTATTGTTTTTTTTTAATAGCAAGGGATTGTTTCTGTTAAAATTCTGTATGATGCAAGTCATTCAAATTTCAGATAATTACAAAAAAAAATAAGGCTTTGCCGTATGTGTTTTCTACAGATATATTACCTTGTAGTAAACTATAATACATGGTTCCATTTGGTTCCATTTATACCAATTAATTAATGTCGTTTAACTTGTTTGACAGGTTTTATAAAGTTAATATTGATATTTGAGGAAGAAAAGGGTAATCCAATATTATATTGGGTGATGTTAAATTTTCACATCAGGTGTATAAACTGGACGACCCCAGCTGCCCGCGGCCTGAGTGTTACAGGTCATGTGGCAGTAGCACTCCGGATGAGTTCCCCACAGACATTCCTGGCACTAAAGGCTCCTTCAAACTAGTCCGGTATGTTAATGTTTTTTTTTCTTTTGTTCCTCTGCAGTAATTTACCGTTCTTATTAATAATCATATTAATCATTAATAATTGCTGTTGTTTTGTTGAGAAAACATTTTAAGGTGTTTTTATACTGTACTTGGAAGTTTTGTATAAGGAGAACAGAAATAAGTAATATATTGTAATTATCTACTTGCAGTAATTTATTGGTATATATGTCACAAATATTTTGGACCACCGCTTTTCAAAGACAAGGCATCTATATTGTTGATGCACCTTTGAGCTCGGTGATGACGACGACAGTGATGGTGCTCGTGACAATGAAAATGGACTTGCTGAATAGTAATAAAGAAAATCGTATAAAACATAACCTGGCAATAAACACATACAAATGGATGTGTCCAACAGGCTTACAGTTTCTTACTGTAAGAGAGAAATATGACAATTTGTCGCAGTCCGTTTATTGTGAAAGTACATTTGGATCTGTTTGATATGTGAATTGTGACAGGCCGAACAGTGTACTCTGCAGTTGGAGGTATTGGATTGTGAATTTTCTAGTTTTTCTGTCAATGTTTGTTTTAGAAATTAAATATCTCTGTTTATATGAATGCTGTTGGTGTCTCCATACTCATAGTCTTCTTTTGTGTATGACTTTTTCCACTGGAGTTCTGTTAACTTCAAAGGAAGCGGTGCACTCTGTACAGAGACAGAGCTTTCAGGGGAGAAAAATAACAGTCCTGTCTGTTTGATCAAACATGCACTCTTATTTTCACTTGTCTTCCTGTTAGACATGTGTCATTTGTGGATTGCCCGGGTCACGATATTTTGATGGCCACTATGCTGAACGGCGCTGCTGTGATGGATGCTGCTCTTCTTCTCATCGGTCAGTGTTTTTCCACTTTAGCCACCAGCAAGGTGGTCTCAATGTCATGGTCCTGTTTACACTTGGCTTTAATATCCGATCACTGTTGTCCAATCAGTTATTGGATCGTCCTTTAAGACGCAGTGCTTTTATGCTTATCCTTTTCAGATGTAGCTTTTGCATCCAGATATTGATCAGCTGGTGACTGGACTCTTAGTGTGTGTGATCTGTAATATCGAATTTCATTTCATGATGTTATTGCCTGCTAAATATATACCCTCTGAACAGTATGATGAAACATAATAATAAGAATGTTGTTTATTATTATTATTATTATTATTATTATTATTATTCTACTGCAGAATTTAATAGTAAAACTATCTGTTACAGCTGTGAGAGGGCAGCATCTCAACCCACTTTAAAGTCACATTAAACTACTTGCTCTAGTTACTGTGGGCCACAAGCGTATGCTGGACATGGCACAGGTTCAGGCCATATCAACGCTGTTATCTGGGGCCAATTTTGGAGTGTTGGAATTGATATAATCAGGTCTAAAAATTGTTATGTGCTCATTTTAAAGTTCTTTTTAATTTAATTTTAAAGTGTGGTATATTGTTTGTGTCTATATTTCACTTCTGTAGATAGCTCTTTCAGTAACATTTGTGCATTCACTGTTTATTATAAAATAATTCTGAATCATTCCAAAATAATTTAATTGGTCTGTTGTGAGATTGGCCAAACTTTGCAGAACATTGCCAGAAATGTCATTCAAGCTAACAAGAAATTGTGGTGCTCACAGCTCAGTTTTTGTCAGGGGACAAAATTGTTTATGGTGCATTTCTTAATTTTAAACATTTTTTTTTGTATGCATGTAAATTGTCACACTGTTGGAATAGATTGGAATAAGTTTTAGTAGTACAGTCTCCTGTATGTTCTGTATAGTTTGTCCCTGGATAGGTTATTTAAATCAAATTGTTGTGAGGTCAGAGATTTACACCCAAGTTAGACCATATAGTCTTGACTAACATGCACCTGTTCGGTTTTCTTCTTTCAGCTGGTAATGAGTCGTGTCCTCAACCTCAAACGTCAGAGCATCTGGCTGCTATTGAGATCATGAAGTTAAAGCATATCCTCATCCTGCAGAATAAGATTGACTTGGTGAAAGAGAGTCAAGCCAAAGAGCAGTATGAACAAATCTTGGCTTTCGTGCAGGGTGAGTCTTTAGCTGCCTGCTAATTTGGTGATGATGTTAATGAAACTGCTGCTTTCAGTAAGATCATTAATTTTGCAGAAACAAAAGGTTTTACAGGCAGTAATGAACGCATATGTTGCATAAAAATGTATCTATATTAAACCACTTTACTCTAGTTAATTTACTGAAGTGAACATATTTAGCCGTTGAATGTTATTGATTGTTTTACAAGATACATAGAAAGGGTAAATGTAAGCTAAGATACAGTTTAAATTGCGATATGTTTTTAAATACACAAAATTGGGGCCCTAGTTTCCCTACACATGGATTAAGCCTAGTCTTAAACTAAATTTTAGTTCCAATAGTGTTAAAAATAATTTATCATTGTAAAGTATGTGTAGTCTAGGCTTAGGCTTAATCTGAATATGATAAATTGTCCCTTGTGTTATTTTTTGGTTTTGTTTAAAAAAAAACAAAAAAAACCTTGGGGTTGGGGGGGGTGGGCTTGGGGGGTTAAATGTGTCTCCATAATTCAGTGGTTGAAATGTAAACAAAGTCATCCAGAGTGGTTTAATGTGAAATGGTTCATTATGGAGAACCTTGTAGACTCATATTTCTTTGCAGTGGTGATGTCTACAACACAAATATAGCCATTTTATTTACTATCCAAAACCACTAGTGAACCTACACCTGTCTTCTGAGTTTGTATGTGTTATGTTGATGTTAAATAGTGATAAACCTGAAAAAAAAAAAGTTCTTTTGGAGGGGTATTGTGTCTCACAACACCCTGCATGTATCCCTCCACCATGAATGGACTTGAAAAAATATTTTGCAAAACCACCTCAAAACTATCATATCAGGCAGTGTATTCATAACATTTCATGTAATACTTTTCTGTGATGTAACTTTTAAAGGCATTAAACTGGTTCTTACCACCACTGTGAACTATTCTGGCTCTGCAAGTTCCTCTAGAATGGAGCGTTTCACGTCAAACCACTTTAAATGGCTTTATTTGCCTATAAACTATTTAATTATGCAGAAATTTAGAAAAAAAATTGTGTATTTCCCCACAAGTATGTGTCGGTTACATATTATGTTCCATTTTTTAAATGTTATTCTGAAAATGTAACATTTGGATTAGAGAAAATCAATGAATACAGTTTTTCACATAAAATGTTCTTTTTTCTGCAGGCACAGTTGCAGAAGGTGCTCCCATCATCCCAATCTCTGCCCAGCTAAAGTATAACATTGAGGTGGTGTGCGAGTACATTGTAAAGAAGATTCCTGTGCCTGTTCGCGACTTCACCTCTGAGCCTAGGCTTATTGGTAAATTTCCACTTGGGTTAAGTAAACTATAATAGATAAAAAGGTTTATTTAAGACTCCATTTTGTCCATAAGTATAATGGAAAAGTTGTCTTTTCCCCCCACAGTAATCAGATCATTTGATGTCAATAAGCCTGGCTGTGAAGTGGACGATCTGAAAGGAGGTGTAGCTGGAGGCAGTATCCTGAAAGGAGTGCTGAAGGTGAGATTAACCCACTTAATCTCTTTTAAAAAGGAGATTGTTTTACATCTTCACATGATCCAAGATTAACCTGCATCATTTTGACCAAAATATTTCACTTTTGTTGAATTGAATAAACATTTTGATTAAATAAAACACCCACAGAAACTAAAGAAGTTAAATGTTGTAGGTAAGTTGTTATGGCAGTACTAGTCTATGGTTTGAGGAGCTGGTGTTGATACAGTTTTATTAAAAAAAATTTGGAAACCCCTGGTCAAATGTCATAACATGCACTACAAGGAAATACAGTTGAATGTGCCATTTTCTGCCAACTTTATGCATTATTTCAATTTACATATGCTAAATTCAGCAAGCAATGTGCCATTACCTTTGTACAAGCTTTTATTTTTTTGTTTTATTTATATTATCATATTTCTATTCTATCACTGTTGTGTATATATTGCTGTATATATTTTTGACTTTGTTGGATCATATTCTTTACATATCAAATGGAGCAGCAGCATTCAGAAATCACTTTATTAATGGATAAGTGCAAGAAAATGGCAGAAATGGCCATTAAAGAGTTAAAGTGGTTATATATAAGTATAGCAGTAGGCTTCATTTAATGCAACGTCGTTTTAATGCACAGGAGTGTTAGGTTGATAGGAGTAGTATGTAGAGTTATTCATTTTTTTTTGACTCCTTAACTTCATAATTCAGAATATCCAGTGAAGTCGGGGGGTAATGTAGGACAAAATGGCCTTTGGTACATTTTTTGTTTACCATGGAGGTGTAATGGCAGCAATTATTGAAAAATACCATTAATATTTCCCATTCATAAAAACTACTTCGATGAAGTGTTCCTCATACTGGGACACCACACAACTTCAAAATGTATAATGTGAAAGCCAGTATCACAGTAACAATTTACAGACGGTATATTGCCTAGTGTTCAATAAATAGAACATCTACTTTTTATGAATTTCAAATGCAGTAATGTGAAACCATTTCATTGGAAACTTGAAACAAAGTTAATTTGGAATAACTTAACCTGTCTTTGAGTACCTACCAAACGGTGCACACCGATGCTTTCGTAATACGGTCCTGTTCGTTTCCACAGTCTGAACTGTATACCTTAATCAACCATGAAAACCTTACCCAGTACGCTGTAAAACAAAGAACAAATGTACTGGCTAATTCTGTTTACATGCAGTAGAATTTTAGCTTTACAGTTCTAGAGGGGATAATCTCTTTACTACCTTTTGCTTCAAAACAGCTGCTCTTTTCTGTGTCTGTATGTTGTTCTCACCTTTGTCTCTGTTTATATTCATATTGTAAGGTGGGACAAGAGATCGAGGTCAGACCTGGTATTGTTTCCAAAGACCACGAAGGGAAGCTCATGTGCAAACCCATTTTCTCCAAGATTGTGTCTCTGTTCGCTGAGCACAACGACCTCCAGTATGCTGCTCCTGGTGGCCTTATTGGTATGTGTTTGTGGGGCAAAGAGGAGTTTTAAGCCATGTAAGGCTCTAAGGAAAGACATCTAACTCCTATGCATCCTTTGATGCAGGTGTGGGCACCAAAATTGACCCGACGCTGTGCAGAGCAGACCGTATGGTGGGGCAGGTGCTCGGTGCAGTGGGGGCACTTCCTGAAATTTTCACGGAGCTGGAGATCTCATACTTCCTTTTGAGAAGGCTTCTCGGTGTCCGCACTGAAGGTGACAAGAAAGCAGCAAAGGTGAGCTAAATACTCACTGTTTTGTAATTTGTTAGTGAAATACTGGGTACATACGGACACAACCAAAGGAACTCACTGACCACTTTATTACAATCCCTTACCTTATAGGTCCATTATATAGGCTTAGCCCATCCAATTATCCAGCCTAGAGTGGCTGTGTGGTCAGAAACTGACCACTAATAAGGGCTAAAGCAGGGCTGCCCAAAGTGTGGCCAGAGAGGACATTTGATTTTGCTAGCCAGAAAGTCATCTTTAGCCCACCCCCTCACTCAGTGAGAGAACATATTTTTATATTATAGAACTCAATTATTGTTTTCCTTCATAAACTGTATTTTAAAGTAATGTTAGTGTAATGTATAGTTTAAAAAAATTAAAAACTCTATTTGAAATCTACCTGCCTTCTTTATTTGTACCGTTTTGTGTTTTTGGCCCTTGGTCCACCACAAATAATGCTATTTGGGCACGCCTAGGCTAGAAGATGGCTAACAAACTGTGTAAACTGTATACATGCTATGTGGAGCTAATAATGTGGGCAGGGAGTATAGATACTAAAGTAGGGCTGCCAAAGTTTGCCTATGTGGACGTTTGATTAGGCCCACCACAATGTTATCTAAACCCCACCCCAATGAGAACATATTTTTATACAATGTATAATTAATTAAATCCTTATTTTCTTTCAAAGTATTTTGGTAACACAGTGTAGTGTAATGTAATTTTTTAAAACTTCATTTGTAACCCATGTGCTTTCTTTATTTCTTGTTGTTTTGTCTTTTTGGCCCTTGGCCACAACAAACTTTGGCCCCCTGAGACAAAACGTTTGAACCCCCCTGTGCTAAACTGTCTGTGAATGTAAATATCTGAAATGAAAGTCTCTCTCTTTTTAATGAGAGCAGTGTTTAATGTTAACCCTTTCATTTGGCCTATAGGTTCAGAAGCTGTCAAAGAATGAAGTGCTGATGGTTAACATCGGCTCTTTGTCGACGGGAGGCCGCGTGAGTGCAGTAAAGGCTGATTTGGCCAAGATTGTGCTCACCAACCCTGTCTGCACAGAGGTCGGAGAGAAGATTGCCCTGAGTCGCCGAGTGGAGAAACATTGGCGGTAAGCAGATTATAAGTGAAAACTTATTCTGTAGAGGCGAGTTGTTCAGCTTGGTATAGTGAAGGTTGAGCAGATGCTAACTGAATAGAATTCATCACTGTTATAACCCATCTCTGAATATGAGCCCCATCTCTGAAATGGTACTGTTCTTCTTAACGTTAATATAAATATAACAAGACTTTATTCAAAGTAATTCTGGACCATTGGTCCACACACAATACATATGGAAGCTGACATTCAAATACTCATCATCTAAGCCACTTATCCACCTGGGTTGTGCAAGTGCTGGCGCCTGTCACAGCGCTAATTGGGCAGAAGGCAGGAAACACCCTGGACAGGTCGTCAGTCCATCACAGGGCAGACATACACATTCTCACACATACATCAAGGCAATGTAGTATCTCTAACAGTCCCGACTGCATGTCTTTTGACTGTGTGAAGCACCCGAAGGAAACCTGCGCAAACGCACACAGAGAGGTCGCCTGGCCGGGGAATCGAAACTTCAAAAAAAAATACTGACCATTCCTCAGCTTGTTACATACATTAGCTAGCTAACTAAGTACAACTGCTTAATTAGCTTAAAATACAAGTAATTTTGTAAAGTTTTCACAAGAAAAAAATGCCATCTGCTTGTCATGGAAACCTGTTTACAGTTAAGAGTTTTAGTGAACTAGCCCATTAAAATGTTAAACCTGCAGCCTGAAGAGATGTAATGTTAACCTCAGTTTGTCAGAACATTGCCAAACATTTTGTTGTTACAGGATTCAATCAGCTATCAAAATATTTTTGTAGCCCTAGTTTGAGTCTTTGTTAGGCTAATTGTTTCCTTGGATATTTTTGTCTGTATGTAATTAATCCTCTCATTTTCCTTTTTTCTTTCTAGTCTGATTGGCTGGGGTCAGATCAGGAGAGGAGTGACCATCACACCGACAGTAGATGACGATTGAGGATTCAACAATTTGAAAGAAAGGCTAACGTTGTCCCACCGTAGGGCATAAATATCAAACCATTTTTTCCACACTAGTGCAGTGGTCAGTGCTGCACAGAGGTCAGGGGAAGGGGATCTTAAGAAGAACGCACTGGCCCCGAATTTTATGATGTGCGCCATCCTCAGTAGCAGGACTGGTTTCATTTATACTGCAATATGAGAAGAAAACTGCATTTTCCTGGGTTTGGCAAAACAGTTGTCAACAAATTTCAGTGATAACTAATAAACACTTTGGATCAAAACCTTTTGAATATGAGTGGTGTGAGCATATTTTAGATGTGTGCAGAAGAAATGGCTTAAAGAAGAAGCATGTACAATATTTGCATTAATGTACAGAACTGGTATTTGACAGTATGATTTAATGTTTTATGTGCACATAACGTGGACATATCTTGAAGTCTTGAGGGTTGGCAGGTTTTATTAGTTTGCTGACAAATATTGAACTTGGCCTTTTAAATTTAAATTACTTTTTTGAGTGACATTTTCTTTGAGGGGTTTTTTTTGACAAAAAATAGTTTATTGAAGGGGAATTCTCACAAGTTTGCATAATCAAGTTATTTCACATGCAAACAAATTTATTCACAGTGGTTTGATGTGAAATGCTCCACTATAGCTGTTCTTGTAGTCAGAGTTGTTTGCAGTGGTGGTCTTAACATGTCTCTAAAAGCTACATTTATTTAAAAAACAAAACAAACACCTTGCATTAAATGCTCATGAAAATGTTGCGTGATGCTGGAGACGCGGTTTTATGATGGTATATGATTTTGGCCTAAAACATTTTTCTTTAATCCATTCATAGTGGAGGGGTACATGCACGGCGCTGAGGTAAACCATAGGTTACCATAGAAAACTCTTACTACTATTTAACCATCAACAATACATATAAACACTCGTGACGTGCAGGCTCTGAGTAGGTTCAGTGGTTAAATAAAAATGACTTGTGTTGTATCAAGACCCCTGGGTTCCTATCACCATCACTGGAAAGAAATCGGAGTTGATATGTTTCTTTACATTGAACCGTTTTACATCCAATCACTCTGAATGACTGTTCGCACCTTAACAACTGAATTACGCAAGAATTCTGGAAAACGAGGTGGAATTCCCCTTTAAAGGATACATTTGAGCTATGGCCAGAAAGCTGAAAAAATGTTGCTTCCATTGCTAAATATGGAGTGCATTCAAAATAAAGATTTTTAGATTTTTTTTTTATTACGAGTAATATCAAGAGTCCACACCAATGTGTTCATGTGGAGAGGGATGTATAAAATAGCCAAGCTAATGTAAAATGTATTTTTCTTGTAATCGGTAACTTTCATAGAGCTAGGTTTTAAGTGTAGTCTTAAGAACACACTGGAAAAAGATGCTTATGCCTTACTATAGCACCATTGGCAATGTGTTTAACACATCTCATATAATCTGTCTGAAAAATTAGGTATCTTTGATGATTTAGTGCTGGCAAAATTGGTGTTTTTATGAACAAGTAACAAGTAAAACGATGCAAATTAAAGTCTGTTTAGGTTCGTAGCTAAGCAAAACCGAAAACGGCACGAATAAGTTACCGATGTTTACACGCTAGCAAGAGCATCGATACGTTCCCAAGTGTCAAATAAAGCTAATCCAAGGGTAAAAATGGCAGATAGCAATGATCATATTGTTCTGAAATTGATATAATGTAGATTTCTTACGATAACTCTGGCTGATGAGAGGCATTAATGTAAGGTTAGAGCTACGGGCTGAACTTAAAAACCAATATGCTCAACTAGCCTGCTAATCCCCGCAGCTAGTTGGCTAACGGTTTAACAGCGATTAAAATGATCTAAACAAACCCCTCATTTCGATATTTGGTCAGCAAGACGGAAAGGCGACGACGTTGGTATTCTTATCCAGACAAAATACTTTTACTGTATAATTTAAACGCTGAAAAATATGAATTTGTATGGACGCTGACTACAGTGTCAGCCCCCCTCCCGTATTCCCCTAACTTACAGCTCCACAGCTGGAACTTTAAGCTTCAAGCGGCAGTCTGAGCACTAAATGCATTTTGTGTATTTTAAGCTATGTAGCTTTTTAAATGCAGTACAGATCTTCAAAAATCCACTCAAAAAATCAAAACAGTCCGAAGCCTCAGGCTGCGTCGCCTCTGGGAGCGCATTAGTGGAGGTAAAGGAAAGTTTGGGCCCCTCCCAGCGGCCGGCGGCCCGCCCTGCTCACACCCGGTCCCGCCTGAGCTCTGCCCGAGTCTGGGGGAGAACCGTGCGGGCCTGGAGAGTGGTGGAAAAAGGTAGGCCGCTCCATAACCGTATCAGGTTAAAAAGACATTAAGACGCTGCTCAGGTAAATAGTACTGGCGCCGTATCAGCTGACAACGATGTAAGATTCTGAATATTATCTGCTCTTTTCTAGTTTTATAGGATTAGCTTCGTAGCTGCAGCTAGGCCTTCGTTAGCGAGGCCTTGCGAGGCCTGAGGAAGGCCGCAACGGCGAACAGTTATAAACCCGAGTTCACTGTTTGAGTTTTTATGGATCATTAACGCGTTGGTAAAGACTCACTGTACTTATAAACAAACACAAATGCACAAATATAGGTGTTCATGTGTGTTTATTTATTATAGTTTATTGTTTTTTATTAATTCAATATGGCGGCGACTGCAGCGGTGGGCGGGGAATCTGTCGGCGGTTCTCAGCGCCATTACAGGCGGCTTCAGCTGCTGCTCCGCCCCGCTACGCTTAACCGCTGAGACAGCCCTGTAAATAACTGTAACATGTTGTAAACACAGTTAAAATGACCTAAATGCAGCTCAAATGCTTTAAAACCGATAAAATATTTTGCATGCTGAAATACTCTAAATACGTAAAACACTAAATGCAGTTTAAAACCCTTCAGAGACGGATAAATAACTCTAAATGCAGGAAAAATGCTCTGTACGGATTAAATAGTCTAAAAGCCCATGACATACTAAATTCAGTCCTTTAAATACAGATAAAATACTCTAAATGCAGGGCTCTGTATACACATAAAATGCTTTAAAATACTCCAAATTCAGGTGTAAAGCTCTATGAACAGATATTGTAATTTACAAAACTTTTCATACAAATACCTTTAATGCAAGTAAAATATTATTTTAGTTAAGTAAAAAAAAACAAAAAAAAAACTAGCAGCTAGATAAAGAATAAATGCATTATGCAGATAAAATGCTGAATACAGTAAAAATGCTATAAAATAGACAAAATGATTCAAATTCAAATGAAATTCTCAATGCAGATACAATAACTTGAAATGCAATATTTTAAATAGAGAAAGTGATCTAAAAACATAAAATGCTGTAAATACATACAATTCTCTAAATACAGTTAAAATACTTTTAATACAAATTAAATGCTAAACTGCAATTAAAATGATTAAAATTCTAATGTAATCCTCTAAATGTAGATGAAAAGTTGTGAATGTAGATACAGTACGCTAAATGCAGTTTAAAAAAACAAGAAGCCCTAAATTCAGCCACTTCAAATAAAGTACTTTAAATGCATTCAACCTACTTTACATAAAGATAATGAAGGCAAATTAAGTACTCTTCAGTTTTAATATTGTCCTTTGAGCACCGTCATGACAGTTTAGCATCTGATAAGCTGAGAGGTTTATCGTTGCTTTATCAGTGCATAAATTACACAGACACAATTTCCTCTTGTGTCTTCAGGCCACTCAATTTCCTTCCTTCCTTCCTAAACTTCTAAAGCATGGCTATTTAGTTAGAAAAATTATGAACCTGTAAATAAATGAAGGAAAATGAATAAAACCTTAGCAGACCTAGATAATAAAAATGTAGATAGTAAAAGGGACATTTCTCATTTTCTTTTAAAACTATTGTGTTGATCCTACTCATGATTTTGATTGCCGTGTTTTCTTTGGTCTCCGCCGCAGGATTTAAATTATTATGCAGATTATCAAAGGGGTCAATGGACGAAGATGTGACGACCCTCTCTCTCCACACCCACCAGCCCAAAATCATATTCCGTGGGTCAGGTAAAGTAACAGTATTGGGGGAAAGTTTATTCTTTCTTAGGCTGATATAGTCTGTGTGCATATGTAACTTGAAAGTTTGTAGACATCCAGGGTTTCTTCTGAAATGCAGGGTAGTAATGTGCCCCTTTGCTGCAGTAAAAGCCTCCACTCTTCTGGGAAGGCTTTACACTATATGTAGGATTTGGTTTTGATTGCATTCAGCCACAAGAGCATTAGTGAGGTCAGGTACTCATGTTGGATAATTAATTCTGGATCACGAACATCACTCCAACTCATCCCAAAGGTATTGGATGGAGCCCCATCAGGGCCAGCACCAAGACAATGAATTGGATGTTGCATGAAATTCTGATGGGGATAGTAATTTGTGTAACTCGTACCTTGTAACTACCTAGGTGACCTAAATAAAATCGTCCAGTATAGGGGTGCTACAGCAAAGGCGTGCCACAGCATTATCACCAACAAAAGCGTAGCAATAAGACAATCCAATCTAAATATGTCTGGCAAGCTTTCGAGTCTGGCATGTCAGCTGTTTTCAGTGGCTAGGGTAATCCATGACACAAAATCTAATTAGATAATAAGAAAGACTTTATTTGTTACTCAGACTTAGAAAGCTAATTTAGACACCTTGGATTTTTGCTGAGTTTAATAGACATTGCATTCTTCCCACAGCGTTTAATCCAAATCCTTTCTCTCCTCTCATCTTTGATTTTGGAGATGAGTAAGATTTGATAATTAGAGTATGTGATGTATAAATTCCTCACACACAAGACTCTGGGGCATTGTTCTAAGCTATGATCGGGCAGTCAGTATTAAGAAAAAAGCCTGGAAGTAATCTACCCACCAAAATGTTTAACAACAGTGAGGGTATGATGTGTTCATGTGCAGCTACTCCAGGGTGTTCCCTTCTTTTGGTCAGTGCTTTTCTATGGAAAGTATGCATAAAAAATGAGCCCAGTGGATGCATTTTAAAGTAGCTGAATTCACTCATTAGAAGGGCTGTCTGGATGCTTTTTGTAGACTTACATTCTGGTAATTTTCCAATTTGAATGTCTTGAACAGCTATTTTAAAGGGTAATTCTGTTAATGTTGCTAAATTTCAGCATCATTACATAATTAAAATGTAAACAAAGTCATTTAAAGTGGTTTGTTTTTTTTATGTTTATTGTATAGAAACTGAGTCATATTGCATATTGAACATATTGTATATTTGTATTGTAAACATTGTGACCCCTGGTTCCTATCACCAACACTGTAAGTTTCTCTAGCACGGAAAATTTCACACCACTTTGAATAACTGTGTTTACATCTTTTCAAATTATTGGCCCAGAAATAAAAAAAATGGTGTAATTCCCCTTTACGTTGGAGAAAGGTGCCAGTAAACAAAATGTATGATTATAAGACATTTGTGTGTATTCCAGGTGGGGATGGTGAAGCTGAGGAGGACGAGGTTGCCGTGGAGCTGCAGGGGACAGTCCTGGTATCTGCTGTAGAAGGGGATGATGAGATGGAAGTGCATGGTTTTGCTCCTGAGGAGCTGGTCATCCAGGACGGCATTGAGGACGTGGTGGCCGAGTATGTTCAGTGCACGCAGGAAGAGGATGAAGGCCTGGGCACCGTAGCTGTGGAAACCTGCGTGATGTCACCCGACGTGGCTCTGGAAGACGAGGGCCTGCAGGTGGACGTTCTCACGGCCGCTGAAGTGCACGGGGATCCGGAAACGTGTGGCGATTACCTTATGATTTCCTGTGAGTGATAGTGCCCATAGCAGTTCACATCTATAAGTCTATGATCAGGGATGACAGGATTCTCAGAAATGCAAGCACATATGTTCATTTAAGTTTGTAATTACAGGCACATAAATTAATGTTAAAAAGTTTGTAATCCAATTTGATGTCGATTATATAGTAGTGCTCAAAAATGTGTAATCAATGTTTTCAACAATATAAAAGCAATTTGGTTGTAGATCAGTGTATAAAATTAATCTAATATGCTCATCCTGAACAATCATACAAGTTTCAAATGAGTAGTAGGACTCTTAAGAAGGTGTAAATTAAAATGAACAAATGTTAGATATGTGTATGTGTGTGTGTGTGTGTATATATATATATCTATGTATATACATCTGTTCAAAGGAAAACAAGTATCGCCAAAATAGTAACTTTACGGGAAAGGGCAAAAACAGTCCTTGCTTTTAATGTAAGTTAATGTAAAGAGATTTTATTCCAAGCAGTTTTGTAGTATTTCTATTGCTCCATTCATTATGAAATTTTCACCCAATGTAAAGGACATCTGCCATGCTCACATAATGGAGAAAAGTAAAAATAATATATTTATATATGTAGTTTATGATGTTTTAATTTATATTTAATATGTTATCAACATGATGACTTTTGAAGGATTTCTCACCTAATATCTTACCATAGCAATGAAAGAACTGCGTAATGTTTTGCTCTTTTTCTGCAGGACACCCTGGCCTTTTGTTATATCTAGGTTTAGCTGATATTTACTTAGTTATGATAATAGTTAAGTTATGATAACTTACTTAGGTTAGAAGATAAAAGAGCAAGAACTAGTGTGACAGCCAGTCATGGAAAGAAGGCAGTAATTCTTTTGATCCTCATTTGTGCCTGTTCTTTGTTTTTGCAGTGGATGAAACTGGAAAGATTGTTTCAGATGAAGCTGCAAAGATCACAGTTGAGGGCGCTCTGCAGGACCAGGAGGATGGAGAAAAGGATGATGAGGGTCAAGAGGTCATCAAAGTTTACATCCTTAAGGCTGACTCAGGAGAGGATGATCTGGGTGAGTCAGGTTTCCGTCCACTTTGATAAATGACACTGATTGTGTTTACAATGTGAATGAATTTGACTTGCAGATTACGGCTGATTAGTTTTTATATGCCTCTAAATTTGGCAATCTGATGAAAATATATAGCATCTGTATGTTAATCCAAACCAAAACTTGTGTACATGCATGGAGTGGCATTTCCTTTCAACAGTTAACATGTTTATGAGTTCTTTACACTGGTTTATCATCTTTCTAGAGTTTACAGTTGGCCTACTTATGTGTTTAAAGGGGATTTTTCAGAATTTCTTAATAATTTAAGATGTCATTCAGACTTGTTTGAGGTGAAATGCTTCGTTCTGTGCTTCGAATCAGAGTTGTTCACAGGTGTGATGATAGGAACCTCTCATGCCTCAGACATTTTATATACTAGTTAGCATGATAGTTTTTGTCTTATGGGGCCAAAGTGCAATGTTTTTGGTGTGCTGGGGGGGCCGAAAATACAAAACAGTATACAAATAAAGAAGGTAGGTGGGTTTCAAATCGCATTTTGAAAAATGTACTTTATAACATTACACTAAAATACTTTAAAACTTAAAAAAAATGTATATAGTATAAAAATATGTTTGTGCTCTCATTGGGTAAGGTGGTGGGGTTCTGATTGTGAAGTTGGATTCAAATGTTTGTATGGTGATAATTCTTACATTTAACTGACTGTTGAAGATGTACATCACGTCTTTCGATTGGATGGAATTTTAATTTACATTATGTTTAAGCACATTAAGTGTTTATGTGAAGTTTTTTAAATCTGTTTGACATTTTAGTTGGAATTTTAAAGGATTATTAGGCTGTATGTACACAGAGTTTTTCTTCTGTTTGAATGAAGAATGAACTAATTTGAATTGCTTGTGTATTTTGAAGGTGGCACGGTGGATATAGGAGATGCTGATATTGATGTGGCTGATAGTGTGGAACTGGTGGACCCCTCAGGGCTGCCCATCAGAGAGAAAATGGTCTACATGACAATGGGGGAAGCCAATCAAAACCAGGATGACATCAGTGAGTCATTTTTTGTGACTGTATGTATGTAGAGTGCTAGAGGAACTGCACTGCCTGTCAAAAGTTTGATGACACTTTGCCATCTTTTAGTATTGTTAGATTTTCGCTGTGAGATGCAATTCAGTAAGAAGCAAATACATGCAAATGATTTGTTATAAAGCAACTATGTGTTAATGATTTGGGTGTATTTATCTTCAACACCTCATGTTTGTCAAAGTGTTTTCCTTGGTATGAAGAGCAGATTTTGCCTAAATAGTGCTTTGACAGTTTTCTTTTCCGATCTATTGTTAAAAGCATGTATTGAAACTCTTTTGGTCCAGAGGTGGTTTAAACACCTAAAATGTTTAAGTAGTTAGGATTTTGGCAGTTGTTCCTTCAGTTTTGCAGGTTTTGAAAAGAAAGTTGACAAGATCTTATCAGTTTCTGTTTAATATGTTTAGTTGTTGCAAACCGACAGCAAACCGACAGAAAACCTTTGTGGTAATTACATTTAAATAAATCCAGTGAATGGAACTCTGCTTTGTGTATGTGCTGAGAGGCTGTGTCTCTCCTGACAGATGTTGCTAAGATCACTGATGAAGTGTACATGGAAGTGGTGGTGGAGGGTGAGGATCCTGCCAATCATCAGCGGCCATTTGATAACACCTCACTCAGCAAGGACTTCATGCCCGTCGCCTGGGCAGCCGCTTATGGTTAGTCAGCACTACACACTAACGTGCTTGGGGCCCAGTTCATCACTATACTGTCAGAAAAAAAAAGGCCCCATCTTGGTAAATTTTAGTCCCCCAAGTTACAAACCATGCACATGTATCCTCAAAGGTACAACAAAGTCCCTAAGGTTTATAAGGTTGGTTTATCTTAAAATTTTTGTGTACCTTATTGTATTTGAAATTGTTTAAGGTAGAAAAATAGTCAGTGCAACTTACCAAATATAACTGCAACAAAATAAGGTACAGTTACATTCCCTTACATAAGGTACCTAAAAATACTCTTGAGGGTATTATCCCAGCAACAGCGTTCCTTTTTTCTCAGTTTACTTTACGAATGCTGTAAAGGATCTCTGCAGAGGTTAACATTTTATCTCTTCTGACACTGCTAAACTCTACAGTGCTCTACCAGAGCAAAAATAAAGCTTGGATTAGAAATGAGGACTTTTCATTCGACTCGGACTGGAAAAATTTTACCCTGAAAAAAACACAAACAAAACAATTAAATCAAATGAGGGCTGACAGCGTTTATATAATAAGTATTAAAATACTTTGTTTCCAAACGTATGTGTATGACTTCTACCTGGAGTACATGTGATGTTAAAATGAAAGAAGCAAAGCAACTTGAAACAGTTGGCTAGCATTTAGTTTGGGTAACTAAGTATTTTAGTTAGGTAGCGCAATTCATGGTATACTGATGATGTCATGAAGTCATGCTGCCACCATTTTGTTAAGCAACTTTAAGTTCATTCTGCAGTATAGTAATTACTCAATTTAAAATTTTGAAAGCATATTACGCAGCATATTTGAGTATATTGCCTTGATTTTATTTATTTTTTTGCTGCAGTGATAACAAATGTAAACTGAAATCTAAACAGCTGAGATTTCCCACAGTGTTCCCTCTGCTGCTTCCTAAACCACATACTAGCACACTAAACAGTATGTAAAAACAGTGCAGTGCCATTAGAAGTGTAGTAGGTGAAGTACAGAAGTGTGTGGTTTGGGACTCAGCATTTATTACTTGCCCTTTGATAAGGTGATTTAGGGTTATCAGAATATCCTACCTAAACTATTATTGGACTCGGCCATCTTGTTGTTGTTGTTTTAGCGGAACCGGCTTAACCCAACAACGAGTGCTTGCAGCAGAAAAAAACACAAATGTGAAAAGGGCCTGTCCAGCCCACGTAATGGGAGCAATGTTTATCCACCAAATGTAATATATTACATTTCCAACATGTTGAAATATCTTTGAGGGGACCAAAATATCCATATTATGTTTCAGCATTTTTATATCAGAATGTCTTAACTATCAGCATGTTTTTGAAGAGATGACATGTTTGAAAATTTCATAGTTTGGATATTTTCAGTCTTGATACTGTTAACATGCTATGTAGGGTTAAACCATAGCTATGAAATTAATGTACAGATTTATCTATGATGTCACTGTCATTTTAGATAGAGTTCAGAATTTGTAATACTTTTCCTGATGTTGAGCAGCAATCCAATGCTTCATTTTTGTGATGTATATACTCTTTTAGTATATTAGTACTATTAAAGGAGTCATATTGAGAGTAATCAGTGTTCTTTTTGTGAAAGATTTTGGTTGAAAACTGACTACTGGTGCTTTATAATGATTATAGCTAATACCATTAGGCTTAATTACATTCATTTCAGTCTGAAATGTAATAAATGTGTTCTCAGGTGGGGAGGAGGCTGAAAGTTGTGAGAACAGAAATGGAGCAGCCAGCGCTGTGTTACACATTGAAGAGTCTGAAATGATAGAGAAGCTCAACCGTCAACGAAGCAAGAACAAGAGCAAAAAACGCTCTGAATCACGTCATATCCAAACAGGTACTGTCTCTGCAAACTCACACCAAATTGACAGACAAAAATTAAATGGTGCCATCACTTAGAACCCTTAGAAGTCAAGAGTTGTACCTTTGGTTTCCTATACTATTTAAATCGAATTACATATTTAATACCTTTCTGAGTTACGCAATTACATTTGCAACCCAAATAATAATAATAATAATCTTTTATTTATATACTGTTTTTCATTTTAGATACAAAATCTCTACAAAAGTGCATTACACAAGAAGATAAGCGAAACATCGGAAAGTATCACGGTCTGAATTACAAAACACCATAATTACAAATAATAGAATAAAAAGGAAACCCAGTACTATATATATATATATATATATATATATATATATATATATATGTATGTATGTATGTATGTATGTATGTGTATGTATGTATTTATTAGCCTGAACAAATATGTTTTTAATCTGCATTTTAAAAACACCAAACGAGCTTGCACTCCTAATATTATTCTCGAGAATGCAAAAAGTCATTTCAGATGTCAAGTGTCAGCACCTGAAATGATCAATTGAGTGTGTTTGATTACTAATATCTCTTTTGGTTTGCTTTTCTCCTCAGCAATTATCATTGGGCCATATGGCCAGCCACTCACAGTGTACCCCTGCATGTTATGTGGGAAGAAATTCAAGTCGCGTGGTTTCCTGAAGCGGCACACCAAGAACCACCACCAGGATGTGATAAACAAGAAGAAATACCAGTGCACAGACTGTGATTTCACAACCAATAAAAAAGCTAGTCTCCACAACCACATGGAGATCCACGCTCTGAACAGCAAGGCTGCTCCATTCGAGTGTGAGACGTGTGGTAAAGATTTCCACCAGCAGGCAGCGCTCTTCTCCCACCGGCTGCAGCACCACCACCGGGAGACAAAGCTGCAAATCCCACCACCATCTACCAAAATGTACAGCTGCAAGTTCTGCGATTACGAAACAGCAGAGCAGGGTCTGCTCAATCGGCACCTGCTGGCTGTGCATAGCAAAAACTTTCCTCACATTTGCGTGGAGTGCGGGAAGGGCTTTCGGCATCCGTCTGAGCTGAAAAAACACATGAGAACTCATACAGGGGAGAAGCCCTACTCCTGCCTCTACTGCGACTACAAATCGGCCGATTCCTCCAACCTGAAGACCCATGTGAAGACCAAGCACAGCAAAGAGATGCCCTACAAGTGCGACCGCTGTTTCCAGACATTTGCTGAAGCTGAGGAGCTCCAGCAGCATGCTCTTACGCACGAAGAGGCTAAAAGCCACCAGTGCGCCCACTGCGAGCACCGCAGTTCCAACTCCAGCGATTTGAAACGTCACATCATTTCTGTTCATACCAAAGACTACCCGCACAAATGCGACGTTTGCGGCAAAGGCTTCCACCGGCCGTCTGAGTTAAAAAAGCACTCAGCTGCCCACAAGGCCAAAAAACTGCACCAGTGCCGCCACTGCAGTTTCAAAACTGCTGACCCTTTTGTGCTCAGCCGCCACATCCTGTCCGTGCACACCAAAGAGCAGCAGGCTTTTTCGGACAAAAAGGGGCTGAAGAAGGCCTTTGTGCTCGGAACTCACGGTGGTAAGAAGGTTTTGGCCACTGCAGGTGCGTCCAAAGTGCGTAGGGAACGGCGAGTGTATCAGTGTGAGTATTGTGACTACAATACAGGAGATGCTTCAGGCTTCAAGAGACACGTCATATCCATCCACACGAAGGATTACCCACACCGCTGCGACTTTTGCTCCAAGGGTTTCCGCAGACCTTCAGAGAAAAACCAGCACATAGCGCGCCACCACAAAGATCTAATGCCTGGCATGTAATGTTCTCCAAATACTGCGATCAGTAGGGCTGCATGATAGATAGTTTACTGATTGTTTTTTGCCATATTGACCTCTGCAGTGCTCATATTGCAGTATGCAATGTCTGATTGTGATATCACTAAACTGCTCTTGTGGAAGGCTGCAAGATGCAAATGCACCTCTAACTATGACATTACTCATCTGCTATTGTAGAAGGCTGCAAAATGCAAATGCATCTCTAATCATGACGTCACTAAATGCTTCATTTGCTGTGAGCGTTCTGAAGAATCAGTTGTTTTTTCATTTATATTATCTAACAGATGTAAAAAGCAAGAACACTTTGGTCAAATATATTGCAAGGCATATCACAATCACAACATAGAGCAATATAATCACAATGTAATATTTTAGCCGTATCGTGCAGCCCTAGTGGTCAGCAGGCTAGCGAGTGCATTCTAAGCAGTAAGACTGCTTTTAGCATTTTTTTTTTTTTAAATTTTATGGAGATAATGCTCACCTCAAGAATGCTGGCTAAGTGCAGTCACATGGGTCAGGGCAGTACAGTTGAGATGAAGGAGTAGAGCAGGGGTGTCCAGCTTAAATCTAAAAGGACCTTGGTCCAGCACAGATGGGTGATTTCAGGGACCAGAAGTGGGCACCTCTGGACTAGATTTCGTGGTGGAGAACATTTTTATGTTTTCTCTTTTAGCCGTTGTCTGCCTGAGTTTTTGTTCCGTTTTCTGACACACCCTTGTTATATCCGACAGTGCTGGAGATGCACCGCAGTGAGCTCGCTGGCAGCAGGAATATGTGGTAGAAGCTGTGATTCAAAATGAATTTGAAGCTTGTTTATGTTCTTGTTTTTGAATTGTTTTCATTTTCAATGTGTATTTTTGTCATTTTGTAATGACAGAGTGGTCACCCTGCAATTAGATGTTCAACAAAAATGCAAGTCCTTTCAGATTTCTAGACAGGATGGATTGGTCAGTAAAATGGAAACAATGTTTTGAAGTAGAAACCATGTGAAACCATAAGATATTGGACATCTGACCAATGAGCCCGGAGTCTGAGTTTTGCTCCAAGCGTTTCTGCAAATCCTCAGGAAAAAACAGCATGTTGTGCGTTTGAAAGGCTTCAGAACATTGTTTCTTCTACTTGTGATATAATTTTCAGTGATGTCAAAATAAGAGATTCGAACAGCTTTGTTCACAGTATAAACCACCAGGTACTGGACATCTGCCTGATGATTCAGTATAAAAAATGTCTTTCAGCTCTTGTCAAATCCAAAACACCATCTTCTAGAATACTGGTATGTAGCGCAAAACTGATGTAAACAAAGCCTTTAAAAATCATGGATCAACTATAAAAGAGTGAGGATATACCATGAAATAAAATCATGGATCAGCAAATGGAGCAAACTTTTGCTTACCTGCTTTTTAGCATCTCCATCAAAATATCATGTTAATGTTCACCGCAAATGTAAAAATCCTAACAAAGTCAGCCATTAGTGAATGAAGAGCCAGACACCATATTATTGTTTATGTGCACATTTCAATTTTATGTTTGTTTGTTTAGACAACAAATATTTGGCTCATGATTGTGCATTTAAATGACGTTTCTCTGCTTTGTGGAAGTTTTCAGTTGTGTGTGTGTTGCTTGTGTTTGGTAAATTAAGATTGAGCAGTAAGATTCATAAGAGTCCTAACTGTATCTGCAGTGGCAGTGCTGGTTGATAGCTCTCTTTAGGTCTTACACAATCTTTTAATCAGAAAGTGGTTATAAGATAATAATAACAAAATAATCAGAGGATTTTAAGAACAAAATCTTCTGACCTTTAGGAGGACTAAACATGGCTTCTTGCCTGATAGGCGATAGAAACTTGAAAAGGAGAAATGCACGAGTCTGGAGCAAGCATAGCGTGTAACTTTGAATAGGTATATTCTGAAAAGAAGTGTGTATATAACATTTGTAAATACAAAATTATTAAAAAATAGAGTATTTTGTGTCTAATGTCTCCCTTTTCTTGTTTGTCATATAAAAGCCCATGTCTGATTTGTAATCAAATGAACAATGACTGTAGTGGTGCTTTGCTTAAATGATTCTGGTTAAATTAGGATGACTCAAATGTCTCTGCAGTTTTTTCTAGAAATCTAGAATCAAACCATATATCTTGTCTGGGTTATCTAAAAAGGCCTGTGATGCACTGAAATGTGAAGTGACTGCCTAAAGGCTTCCAGTAGGAATCAGTTTGCTTTACTCTTTATGCGTAAGCACAAAATGAGGTGTTGAAAGCCAGAAAAAACAGCTTGAACAAAATGTCTGCTGGAGCAACTGAAGATCTTTAAAAGTATGAGATCCATCTCAGCAAACGTCTGAAAGACAAAAATAAACATTTTTATTTGCAACAGCAGAACTTAAAATGACAGTTTGTCCAAAATCAAGTTTCCAAAAATAAAATGTAAGCAGAGTTTACCCTCCATTACCCCCAAATAGAGTTAATACATGTTTGGTGTCTAAAGTTTCTTGAGTTTTAGCACTGAAGCTATGAGGCTTTAAACTGGAGCTAATGTAGCTAAGTTAACAAGTAACGGAAGCTTATATGCTACCAATTAGCATAACGCTAACTGCATGCCTAATCATCACAGATTTGCTTCAGACTGCGTAGAGTTGTTAAGTAATCTCAGATATACCTGCTTATGTGGTATCCGACACTATGACACTGTTATCTGTAAAAATGGACAATAGAATGGACAAAATTCAAGCTTCTACTGTTTTTAGTTATGCTAGCTAACATAATTTTGTCCATTTTTGTAGATAACAGTGTGTCATGCATCGCATCTCTTTGAGGTTATTTAACAACTTTACAATACGAAGCTAGGTGTGATGATTTAGGCATGCAGTTAGCATCATGCTAATTGGTGGGGTAAAGGCTTCTGTTACTTGTTAGCTACATTAGCCTCATAGCTCCAGTGCTATGACTGGAGTTAGCTGAACATTGGTTTGGCTAATCCACTACATTTGGGGTAAGGGGTAAACTGTATTTGTATTTGTGTAAATGCAATAATTTTATGTGTTGTTATATGGATAAGGATATATATGTGCATATATTTTGCTCCTATTAAAATATATGTGCAATATATGTTGTTTTGAAATATGCTAAATATGTTTAACTGTGCTTTTCTGATATTTAAACATATATATTAACATATATGTCAATCAATTGAAATATATGTAAATATTATTTGTATATGTAGTAGGTCAGTTATATGCATGTCAAATATATATGGAAATATATTACTGAGGAAACAAATTTTGAAAAATATACCCTGCCAGCATAATCAGAATAGATCACCAAATGTGCTAAAGTGTGAAATGTTACCGTTTAGTGGCAGAATGACGATGTTCTCACGCTTGACACCCGTTTCCAGAGAGAATTCCTGGAACCTTTTCTTCAGTTCTGCGCTCAGGTCTTTGGTGCGGCCTGCAAAAAGCCACCAGCATAATAGACCAGTTTAAAGCTCATCCCCAAACAAAACAGTTAATGAGGTCAGTTGGATAATCAGGTTAGAAATCATGTCCAAGAAGTCTTACCATACAGATGGTTGAGCACTTCACTCACACCTCCTTTGGTCTTGATAGTGTGGACAAGAGCAAACTCATCAGGTTTGACATCAACCACGCGCATGTCATTATCATTCCCCCAGCCTGAGAGAGAGTAAATAATCTTTTACAACCAACGTCAGCAATTAACAATGAAATGTGCATTTTGCATGTTTTCAAGATTGGCAAGTGAGGAAAAAAAATAAACCCAACTGCAGGCTGATTTATGGGTTAGTAATCTTAGATTAGTAAGTGATTAGTAACCCTTATTATTCAATAACTACTATAAATAAATTGGTATTCACTACCAATGCGTTCTTTTTATAGAGAGAGTGAAGAACTGAAGCGTGGGACTGTATATGAATCTCTGCATATGGATTGTACAGTAGATTACTGCAGACCATAATAGACATTAATGCAGTGACTCAAAAACATGAATAGCAGAATTCAGTGCTCCTATTTTGAAAGTATTTTAAATGGCCCATACCATGGATTTTTTTCCCTCACTTGTTTAAAATAGAAGCATTTAAACATTGTTGAAAAGTAACTAAGCAGCAATAACAGCTCAGTTTGAATTCATTGTTTTTTGTGATGTAACAAAAACAAAGGCGTTCACATACATTCACTCATTCATGCTGAAGTTATAAGGAATGTTTCCACCTGGGCTGCTTTTGTATGAGGCACGGTACAGGGCAGCCAATCAGAAAAGATCTCATTTACATACATAGGTCTTAAAAAGAAAAGTAACAAAACCAGCCTGTTTAATTCTAAGGGATAAAGAAAGGGCGGAAAATGGTCATGGAAATATGAACTACGACTGTTTTGGTACATAAACCAACAATCGGACCTTAACTACAAGAGGAATGAGGGATATGAGCCCTTGTAGCCGAAGTCTTCAGTCCTTGAGTTTCACTGGGAAGTACAGGGAAACTTGCTGAAATGATCTGCAGTAACAGACTGTGTTGTTTTTATATTACAACATTTTTTTCTATTTGTGTCTTTTCTCTGTTTATATGTTTATGTTTCTATATTTTGTGTGATATTCTTACAGTATACTGTAGTGTGGAAAAAAATCTGTTAATTCAGAAGTAGGCTTACGCTTGCTGTGGAAAAAAAACTTTCCAGGAGTCTCAGTCTTTTTAGCGAGGTGGGTCATCTTATTGCAGGAGCCATCATCTCTGGGGATTAAAAAACATATAAATGTCAAACACACTGATTTCATTCATTCAGGTTTGCTGTTTCTACAAACACATTATGATGTAGGATTGCAGAAGGGATTATCAATATTTAAGGCTGACATGGACATTTAATATTCCGGTGTTTCAACTTAAGCTCAGCATTTGCCTATTAGCTTCTATTATAAGTGTGTTTTGAGTCAATAAGTTTTCTGTTGTTTTCTAAGTACAGGGAAATGTGTTGAAATAGCTGTCTGTGGTAATTGACCATATACTACAGATATGTCAGATTAAGTTGAAACATGCTGGACTGTCCTTTTAAGCCCAGTCTTCACTAAATTACATTATTAAAGGTGATCCATCATTAAAAATACTTAAATCTAGGCTTTGGATTAATCTAAACCTACTGACAGAGCAGTGAATGTAAAAGAAACTCTACTCTAGCTTAGTGTAGGTCAGGTCCAGGTCTCCATCACTCGTTGGCTCCAGAAGGGCCAGTCCCATCTTCATGCCGTCTTTATGATTGACAAACCAGCTAGCGTCTGTGGCAAAGCCAATGAGGTACCACTTCCCTTTTATCTGAGACAGAAAAAAGTCATACATTTTAGGCCTGAGGCCTCCCCACTGATAATCTGTAATTTGGAGAACTACAAAGACCACCCCTATGAAGAGTGGACCTGATTAAATGGACAATGAGTGTAGCTACAAGGTGGGTGTGCCTCATGATGTGGTTAGTGAGTATTTGTACTTAATTTCATCTGTTCCTATATGTTTATGTATTATATGAAACGAATCTGAGCTTTACCTCGTCCAGCTTGAAGCCGATCTTGGGCATGATGTCTGCGCAGGCTGCTGTAGCGCACAGCAGGAAGGCCACAAACCTCAGCATGACTGTGAATCAGCCGTTTGAGTGGAAAAGTCTTCTGTTTGTGGAAGTGAGGAGGCTAAATGTGGGGATGCAGGTGAGTCTTTTATCCTCCCTGGTTTGTGCTTTAACCCATCCCTCTCACTCACACTCCTCCCCTCAACACTCCTCACCCCCAAGTTGTTGCACAACTTACACGTGTGCAGCTTTTCAGACATATGGAACCCTGCAGGAGGACAACAGATCATAGGGGCCTGACTGTGGTGCCAACATCACGGTTTGGGGCTGTTTTGCTGCTATTGGACTAGGAGAGCTTGCCATCATAGTCAGTCTTAGTCCTTAATCCGATAGAAACGTCGAGGCAGAACCTAAATTGCGGTGTTCATGCAAGAAAGCCTACCAGCATAATAGAATTAAAGCAGGTCTGTAGAGAGGAATGGGCCAAAGATTCCTTCAGGTCAATATCCAGGACTGTTCAACAGTGATAAGAACCCTTTGGTTGCTGCTCAAATGGGTCACACCAGTTCCTGCAGTGGTTCACATACTTCTGCCAACAAGGACATTCAATGTTAGATTACTTGAGTAAATGAAGGAAAACTGTATATGTTTTATGTTATTTGTTGGCTTCTCTTTATCTAATGTTATGATTTTAAATGAAGTCCTGATCATATTTTAGGTAACATTTATGTAGAAATTCATAAAATGATAAAAGGTTCACAAAGTTCCAAGCAGCACTGTATATGGAGAACCAGTATATTGTCATATGTCTTTTTTGTATGGGACAGCTTGCTTTATTTAACATAGAGGCTCCAAGGTTCATTGAGTCCAGATGTGAAGTGGAAGAGGGGCTTTACTTACAAAACTGAAGGCAAGCCTTCAGTACTGTGCAAAATTCAGAGAGCACCCTTCATGTAGTTTCCAGTTATTCATGTTTCAACATGGGGAAAAAAAAGCAGATTTTGCGTTTTCTGCTTCTCACGATCCAAATGATCCCAAACGCATTCCGTGATGTTGAGGTCTGGACTTTGGGTTGGTCAGTCTGTTGTCCTGAGAACGCCAGCAGCTTTTTTGTTTTCTGAGTAAGAGCTTCTTAACAGCTACACATCCTTTCAGACCCATAGTGTTGTGTCTTCTCCCAGTGGAAGGATGGACTGAAGCACCTGTAATTTTTTTAGATTTGAAGCAAGAGTGGACCTTATTTTTCTCCTCACTCTCTAAGATGAAGCTTTAAGTGCTGTTTATCTGATGTGGAGAGTTTTGGTGCTTTACCAGGTGCTGCAGGTGGTTGTTAGGAGGCCCATTTTCTCCGTAGCTTTTAATCATTTTTTTTACTCTAGTTTTGGAAACTCTAGTTTTTGCGCTTATTTTCCTTTAAGTTTCTCCTTCCTTAAAAAATTGGAATATCTTTTGTAATTTATTTCTCAGTAATATTTCCTGGAAAATAAATGACTTGCACTTGGATACTTGGACTGGGGATTAAATCAATAAAAGGTGGTGAGAGGGCTCAGTTAGGTTTAGTAAGGCCCAGTTAGAATGTATATGTGATGGATGTGCCCACTGACAATTCACACATACTTTGGAGATGGAGGATGTATGTGTTCAAATGTCTAGTTCACCTTGAGGTCACACTCCACACACACATACACCTACACTTCAGGAATAGGAAAAGAAATATGAGAGTTCAATTTGAGGCCACTAGCTAAAGTGCCAGAACTTTCTGAGCCAAATCAACATATAAAGCATACTCACTTTAACACACACCTGTCCACACCATAAATATAGTATATATATATATATATATATATATATATATATATATATATATACTTCAGTCACATACTGTCAGCTGAGGGGATCAAGCTGGCGGCCTTCCGGTCACAGGGCTGGTTCCCTAACCTCCAGCCCACGACTGCCCCCCAAATGTGTTAAATTCAGCAAATAAACAGTAGGTGTGCATTACAATGTGCAGAAGTGTCTTCTCTGTAGAGGATGTTTACTTACTTTCACTTAGAAAATCAACAGTAACATAGAATTTAACCAGAGGCGCCCAAACTATGTTTATAACATAAGGACATGTATGAGATTTGTGGGGGTCAGTATAATGATTATGGCAAATGTAATCTCATTTACTTGAATGTACAAAAAACAAAAAAAAACAAAACAAAAAAAACAAATAACAACTTTGATCTCATTTATTGTTTCCATTAACTGATATGTTTATCCCTTCAAATGCACAGAAGAGGTCTCCCAGTAACACGTGGATTTGGTCATGTCTCAGGTCATAACTGAAACAGACAAAGGTAAAAAAATTCAATCATTAGCATGGATGAGCTTTTATAATACCAAAATATGTGGGCTATTACAGACAGCATGCTAACCTTAGGCATAGTTAACTAGCCAAAGACAAGCTGGTGCATCTCTCCACTACTTCCTCACTATGTTGTCTCAAGATTTCAAACTAAATATGACAGCGTGTTAAGTAATATCAAAAGCACAGAGAACAAAAAGTGGCTGTCTTATAACAGCACGTAAAAACGTTTCAAACTTTTTAACAGTATGACAACATATTAGCTAAATTATGAAGATTTTGTCACTATGCGCTTTGATGGGTATGGTCGGTACGTTTTGAACACTGAGCAACTGCATACATCATAAAACAGACTTTTAATTATAGAGAGCCTGTAAACAACAACAGTCAGTGTAACTGCATAAACTGCATAGTAACAAGTTGGTGATTGAACAGCAGTCCAGTATGACATCTTTTTACAGGTTTTACCTCCTGTTCCTTTTTAAACAACTAATCATTGTACTTTTTTCAGTCTTTTTTTAAAAGGGGTAGTTTACATGGTGCATTAAGTTTTAGAAAAATGGAGACATCCATCAGACATTGTAAAAAAATGTCTTTCATGGTTCAATTTGGATGATGTGTTATAACGATTTGTTATATTTTTGCCACAGTTTCCACCCTTACTCCAAAAACCCAGTCAGTTTACCCTGAGGTTGCACAACATCAATCAGGCAGGTTTGGAAGACAGAAAACTACATGACAGTGTCAGGAGATCTTTGTTTGGCTTTGTTTGGCTTTCTTTGTTTGGATCCAAAGTTTGCCAATCAGTAACTCTTCAGTCGAACTGACTGATCAAACAAAAAAGTGAGGACAGTGGTGTAAAAAACATTTAGAAGTAACAGAATTTCACTGATCAGTAACTGACCTTTGGGCTCTTTTCAAATAGGCTTAGCATTAACACTCCCTGCCCACTTTATTAGAAACCCCTTCACCTTGCTGGTGTGCAGTTAGAAACTGTTGATGCCCAGTTTGTATAAGCCATCCTCAGCTCTTCACCAATGGCCAGTTTCTGACCACAGAGCTGCTCTTGGCTGGATATTTTTAAATAGTGGTCTGCTCTCAACCTAGCAGTGACACTGATGTGTAAAAACTCAGCAACACCACTGTGTCCTATACACTCACACCAGCACCACACAAACTACCATGTCAGTGTCACTGATGTGCTGAGAATAATCCACCACCCAAATAATATCAGGACAACAGCAGTCCTGTTGTCAGACTCTGACCAGTGATGAATAGGGTAGAGGGGGCTATGCAGTAACAGATGGACTACAGGCTGTAACACCTACATTGAAGTGTTTCTACTAAAGTGGCCACTAAGGGCTGGACATGCAAGGTTGGTGTTTCTAATAAAGTGGTCAGTGAGTGCAAGTACAAGGTAGGTGTTTCTAATAAAGTGGCCAATAATTGAAAGTACAAGGAAAAATATCTTTCTTACCGAGAGTATACTCTTTAACTGCTGACTGACAAAACCCTGAAAAGAGAGCGATTGAAAAGAAAAAACATAGTTATGAAAAGTCTAAAGGACTAAAAATGACTAAAGTAAAAAGGACTAAAGCTTACTTATTACTATATGAGCCTTACCATAATCAGGAAACTGGAAAATGACATCCAAACCCATGTTATGTTTTTTTGCAAGTTCCTCAAATTTATCCACGATGGCATCAGGAACCTGTGTAGATCGGCCTTTAACGTGAAGAATGTTTTGTTAAATTTTAATATACAAGACATACTAGCCTACTGGATTTGTGGGGGGCTTTTGACTGGGTAGATTTTTTGGGTTCCTTTGAAATCCAAAATTCAATTTTCCTCTGTCTGGTCACTTTCTGATTAATGTGATTATGTGATCAAGTTAAATTGACCGATTAGTCACACAGCTTTTATACTCTGTTATATACAATGAATGCAATACACCATATGTTCAATTCTGTATTAATAAGCTGTAAAGTTTAATGCAATGATAAAAAACAATATATATTTCAGTCAGGCTACATACCATAGAGCTTCATGGTGATTTTCTTCATTCTCTTGTAAACCAGGATGGAATAGGAGCTGTAATCTGTGTCTATGACAGTAATCTCAGTATTCATCAATGGCATGTTACCTACAGGATGGATTACAAATGGAGATGTCAAAAATGTTATTTGTGGACTTAATCATTATAAATCATGTGGACTTAATCATTATAAATCATTGCTAGTATTATAGTTCAATCATGAAACAGTAATTAAGTTTTGTGCATTGGAGTATTAAGCGCCCTGGCAAATAAAAAATGATTTCTGTATTAAATGCCCACTTTTTGCACCTTAATATTCCTGGATTAAAAGAAAACAGCATAAAGGAACCAAAAAATGTTTACTGAAGTCTGTGTTCAACTACAAATTGTCTTGAAATACAAACCCCATTTCCAGAAAAGTTGGGAAAGTTTGTAAAATGCAATAAAAACATGCATCTGTGATTTGTTAACTCTCCTGAACCTTTGTTTAACTGACAAAAGTACAATGAAAAGATTTCCAATGCTTTCACTGACAGAGTTAATTGTTTTTGTAAATAGAAACAAATTTAGAATTTAATGCCTGCAACACCCTTAAAAAAAGTTATGACAGAGGCGTGTTTACCACTCTGTTTCATCACCTTTCCTTTTAATTACACTTTTTAATTGTTAGAGAATTAAGAATACTAATTGTTTCAGTTTTGCAAATCGAATTTTTACCCATTCTTGCTTGATACAAGACTGCAGCTGTTCAACAGTCTGTGGTCATCGTTGTCTGATTCTCCACTTCATGATGCACTATATATTTTTAATAGAAGATAGATCTGGACTGCAGGCAGGCCAGTCAAGCACACGCACTATGTGTCTATGAAGCCACACTGTTGTAGCATGTGCAGAATGAGGCCTGGCATTGTCTTGCTGAAGTAACCATGGACTTCCCAGGAAAAGACGTCATCGTGATGGCAGCAAAATCCCAATATACACCTCCTAGTAAATGCTACATTCACACATCTGCAAGTCATCTATGCTGTGGGCACTGATGCACCCCCCATACCATGACAGATGTTAGCTTTTGCATCTTTCTCTGTAAAAGTCTGGATGGTCTGCTTTGTCTTTGGCATGGAGAACTTGATGCCCATTTTTCCAAAAACAAGCTGAAACATAGACTCATCTGACCACAGCAAACATTTCCACTGTCTTTCAGAACATCTGAGATGAGCTCAGGCCCAGAGAACTTTAGAAGTTTAGCCAATTTTTGTAAATTAAGTTAGATCAATAAAATTGCTTTATTTTGAAAGAAAACTATTTTACTGTGTGGAAATACTCTCCATTTTCCTGATTTTTTGAGTGCACTGTGGCCCAGGCCAGACCTTCGTACCTAGGAGTTTTTATCTTTTCCTCTGTTTAAGTTGTTGATTGTTTCAGAAGTAATGACTGCTGTTACAACAGTCATCACACTGCTGATTACTACTGTTCTGTTTGTGTAAACAGATCTACAGGTCACTGATAAGATGATGTATTTTTCCCATTTAGGCTTTGAAAATTTATGAGCCACTTTATTAAATTCTGACCAAGAGGCATGAAAGCAATAAAAATTGAGTATTTGGCCAAGTTGGCACATAGTAGATCTGTCTCTTCATGGTTTGCATTAGTTGCAGATCCAATAACCCTTCAGTGCCATTCAGCCATTTACAGCACGTATTTTTATGCTTAGAAATAATCAAATGTTGTCACATGCCCTAAGAAAATAAATGTATCTACCAGTAGTTCTACCAGGGGAAACGAGGATCTGAACAGGTTACTGACCTTTCAGGAGGAAATGGCCAGTAATCTTGGTGGTCTCGTAATGCTGCTGGATCTCCCAACACTGATAATTACTGAAAACAGGAGGAAAAGGGATTTTTATGGTTAAATGTACACATACTTCACAATACAGTAGTAAACAGAAAACATCAGGGGTTCACAAACTTTATTTGATTCAATACGATGCAGTGGGGTCTCAATTCAATACATCTTTACATACAGCAAAACTAAGGAGTGGCTGAAAATGTGACTTTTTAATCTGATGATGTTTCCATTTTATTAGAGCATTCAGCAGTAGAGCACTTTAAACTGCAACCAACAAACCACCCTTACGGTATTACAGTACAACTCCTCTGTAACATAATGCTCATTTGCACAGCTATGCAAATGTTAAATGTTACATCATTCGGTAATATTCTGTACATAATAATTATTATATGCCTCCTCAGTGCTGCATATGCATGTGTACAGATGTTCACACATCTCTTTAGCTCCTAGGCTCTTTCTTATTTTTTTATTTTATTTTTATTTTATTTGTGCTCTAGTTAAATACCTGTTGGTAGTCTGTTTGCTTGTCTAATCTATTCAGAGAGTTTGACGAAGAAGGTATTCCTCTACAAAGACTATATAAAGAAATCATGACCAAACAGCTCTTCAACTGGCAACGGTTACTGACAGGTGAACAGAACAGTGTGCTGATTTGAGATTTAGATTTTGAAGCATGTAGTAATTGGGGAGCAAAACATTTCTTTCTGAACAGTTAAATTATATTAAGTAACTTGCCACCAAATGAATAAAACAAACAAGAACTGCATGAAGTACTATGAGTAATAATATTTGTGTGTGTCAGTCATATGAATAGACAGTGTTGATCTTATAATGTTTGTAGGCTGAAGTTAAGCCAGTGCAAATAAGAAAGATTAAAGGAACAGTTGGTGAAAATTTAACGCAAAATGTACTCGATCGGGTGGGTTTTAACTGTCATGTTTCAGCCTGCCCAGGTGTAGGCCTATTGCCACAAACATGCATTAATGTATGTTACACCCTACATGCATACAAAAATCACCATATATCATTAGAATACCTAAATCAGCGTAATAAGAGTAATGTAAAAGCTTTTGATATCTTGTGAGCTCGTTTGAAGAACAAAGTTTGGTTCCAGATTTCTCCTGGATGCCTCCAGCCATTGCATAGATTTGTTAAATTCCCTCAGAAGCACCTGATTTAATCTAATGAGGTATTGATTCGCCAAACCACATATTGGATGACAACACAATAGCCTCACACAACTTTTCTGCGATGGGGTTAAACGAACACACTGACACACATAAAATCACTGCTTGTTGTATTCATAGTATTGTATTTAATCTTTTATAAGTGTTGTTTTGAGCAAATACATTTTTACTGTACTGTATGTACAGAGATGAGCCAAAACACTATGACTACTCACAGATGATGCAAATAATGCTAATTATCCCGTAACGTCAAGCTCTTTGATATATTAGACGAAAAGCAAACAGTTGGTTCTCATAGTCGATGTATTGGATGCAGGAGAAATGGGCAGACGAGGAGACCTGAGCGACATTGACAAGAGTCAAATTGCAATGGTCAGATGACTGGGTCAGAGCATCTCCAAAATGGTAGGGCTTGTGGGGTGCTGCTGGTCAGTAGTGGCAAGCACCTATCAAAAACAGTACCTTATTTAAGTCTAATTCCGGCTTACCTTTGTCCGTTTTTGCAGATAAAAGGAACACTTTTGACACCAAACGAATCTTGGTTGATGGACTACATCCTACAGGGAAGATTATCTTTTTTGCCAAACTATTCCTTTAAAGCCTAAATTTGAGGGAAATATTAACTTTGAATACTGAAGAAAAAATAGCAAACCACAAAATTCATCAGAGCAGCAGTTGAAGCACATTCTATATGAATCAGCATCTCCCTCTAGTGGTCACTGCAGGTACTCACAGTTTTGTAAAGGTGCTCACTTTCAGAGGTGAGTTGGTGGAGGCAGGTGGTGTTAAAGTGATAGTAGTGCCTTCCACCTTAAATCCCTTCTCCAGAAGGTGCTGACATCTTGATGCCACAGTGAGCAGGTACCACTTCCCACTCATCTAGAATAGAAAACGACATGAGCGTAAAGGATGTGTTTTTTTTTTTTTTTACAGGTAGTCACTTCCCCTGTGGAAATTAAATACACTATTCTGTGTTAGTTTATTTGTCAATGTGTTCCAAAATATAAATATTGTAACCTGTTTTTAATATATGATATTTTGTTTGGATATTCAGCTGTTATTCATTATGATTGGCCAAAATAATTGATGAATATATGCTGGTAAAAAATACCTGATGGATGTCAATGTCTTTAGCCGGCGTGATCTCTTCTTCAGGTTTTTCTTTCTTTTTGTCTTTAGGCTTTGGCTTGAATCGCGTCCTTCTTCCATCCACAGGATCAAACACGCTCAGCCCCAGCAACGCCAGCAGCAAAACGCACACACAGATCCGCATCATATCTAAATGTAAGTCCACTCTGTTCACTTTTTCATTCACGATAAACTGGTGACTGGGCCCTTTTCTGTGTTTTAGTCTGTTCTGAATATTTCCTCTCACAGTTCTGTCCTAGTTTGTCTGCTAGTTATCTGTTGGAGTCTTTCTCAAACTCAGAGTTGACACACAACAAACAGAATGTAACCCCCACTTAGTTTATCATTAACATCCCATTACTGGAACAAGACAAGACAGGAGTCCCCCCATTACACACACACTAACACTCACAGACTGAAAAAAGTGATTTAACTCATTTCTACATGCATTAAATAAATTACGTAATAATAGTAATAATGAGAAGAAGTAACTTTTTATTTATATAGCATCTACATTTAAAAGCACAGAAAAAGGCAAAAATGAAAATTTATTAAAATTAATAGTAACTATAATAATGATGACTAAAAAAGGAACTGAAGCTAACTAGGGAACCAAAAGGAACTAAAAATAAATTAATAAAAGAAAGTAAAAACAGGAAAAAAACAAAATAATAAAACAAGGTAAACAAAAAATACAAATAAATAAATAAATAATAAAACACATTTTATTATATAAAACATAAAATAATTAGTTGAAAAATAAATACAGGTTATTGTATTTTTACACAGAATAATTATTGCCAAACATAAACTGAAAGACAATTTTATTGATGTAATATATTTTATTCATGTGGAAATGATGGACAAACTTGAATCAAGTAAATTCAGTGCATCATGTTTTCCAGTGAAACACACACACCAGTACCTGCTCCAACTGTATTCCTGCGTACATTTAATTATTTCTCTTATGTCTCAGAGTTAAATGCTTTATTAAATTATGTCTGCACAAATAATTGTACAAGCACATATTTGAAGCAGCATTGTTTATCAATGCACTAACAGTACAGAGAAAGCATAGAAAGAGAAAGAACAGTACATAATACAGAAAATTAAACAAACTTGCTCATTTTTTTTTAGGATATCAGCATAAAAGATGACACCCAGTACATTTTGATAAACACTGATACATTAGCAGAAGATGTTCCATCCAGGCTGGATGTATATTTATAACACCTCCAGGGAAACGTCTCTGTGGGACTGTGTGAGATGTATGTGTTAGTTTTCTCTGGGTTTGAAGTTCAGAGCAACACTGTTTATGCAGAATCTGTGGCCGGTTGGATCTGGTCCATCATCGAATACATGACCAAGATGGGCATCACACTGCCGAAACAAAAACACATTTTATTTAAATTAGTAATTACCCTCTGAAAGGTAACCTGAATTAGTATGACTTATAAGAATTTGCAGCCATATGTATATAAGTCTTTGAAGGCACTAAGCACATATATATATGTGTTTATATGGTTATATGTTGCTGTCCAAAGAAAAACATGCATCTTCAAAATGTTAACTTTACAGGAGAAAGCAAACATTTTCTTAACTTTAAATGTTAATTAATGTAAATACGTTTTATTCTAAGTGATTTTGGAGCATTTCTGTTGGTCCATTCATCACGAAATTTCCACACAATATAAAGCTATTCCAATAATGCAAAAAAAAGTATTTTAATCTCTTTGTTTTCCTAAAAAAAAAAAACCCAAATATCTATGACTATAAATACACGACTACATAACAGTAATTCACAACTGCAGCCGTTCCATTTTAACAGCCCAGGTGTTGGGATGACACAGAGAGAACACACTTGGCCAAAACTGTTCTTATGAATTTTTCTTAAGTTTTACTGTAACCACACAGTAAACAAGTAGTTCCTTTTACTTTTGCTTTCCCTAAGGTATTTTCGTATCCATGGCAATTCTTTCCTCTGGAACTGGTCCCATCTATGACAGGACAAATTATAGCTTACTTTATAAATACCTCTGACTGAAAGATTTATTAAAATGTTCTACCAAAATGTGTATTTCCCCATTGAATTCAGCATCTGCCCTTTGGCTTCTGTTATAAGTATATTTCAAGTCAACAAGTTCTCTCTTCTTTTCTAAATTACTGTCCATGGCAACCAATCATATGATACAGATACAGCAGATAGGGATTAGGTTGAAAAACACTGGAGTATTCCCTTAATGTCTCTGTTGCCTGCACTCACTTGCTTGCAGAGAACCTCTGTTCCTATGCTTCCGAGTGAATTATCAGGACGCCGGACGATGCTGGAGTGACTCTCGTCTCTCTCCCACATCCCATGAGCCTCGAAGAATGAGGGCCAGCCGGTTCCAGAGTCGTATTTTGATTCTGAGCTGTTGGAAATATTCAGAATTTTAGTAGGGATGGAAAAAGAGATCTCATAACATGGTGTAACTTTAATCATTACCATGAAAGATTAATATCTCTTTTAAAATTAAGCATAACCACACAGAGCTCCATAAGGCTTTTACCTGAACAGCGGTGCATCACAGCAAACACAATGGTACATCCCCACTTCACTGTGGTTTAAGTATATTCCACTGAACGGCTGTGTGAAAGGAAACATTTGACAGAATTATGAATCATGACTGGGTATTATTGATTATTGTGTTTACAGCTGCTTGAAAGGAGACTCAGGAAATGTCAAATAACTATTATTTAATCCAATTCAAAGGGTTAAAATAATTATTTCACAACTTATTTATCTACAGTAAATTATCCAGCAACCAGGATGAATTTTTTATGACCTACTATAAATTTTTCAGTATCTACGATGAATTACTTGGTATCTATGAATTTTTCAGTAAATACTATTAATTATTTAATAACTACTATGAATTATTCAGTGTCCATAATACATTATTTAGCGACTAGTAAGAATTATTTATGATCTACTATGAATTATCCAGTATACATTATAAGTTACTTGGTATCTACTATACATTATTCAGCAACTACTATGAATTATTCGGTAACTACTATGAATTATTCCGTAACTACTATGAATCAATGAGTGACAATTGTGCATCATTCAGCACCCACTATGAATTATTTAGTATCTACTAAAAATTATTCAGTAACTACAACATTTTATTCAGAACCTAATACAAATAATTCACTATTTGCTGTTAATTCGATAACTACTTTGAATTATTTCAGTATCTACTATGAATTGTTCTATGATGACCCCATATATTTCAGTCATTACTATGAATTATTTAGTAACTACTACATATTTTTCAGTATCTACTATGAATTATTCAGTAACTGCTAAGAATTATTCCGTAGCTTCTATGAATTATTCAGTATAGACTAGGAATTATCCAGTGTCTACTATGAGTGGTTCATGTTACTAGTCTAAACTTTAATGTTTCCACACACCACTTCTGTGCCTTTCTCTCTGGTGACCACATACTGCTCTGGAGTGAGTTTCTTCTGCCAGTCTATAGATCTCTCATCATATCGGGTTAATGATAAAAGATCTGTGAAAACAAACAAAAAAATGCATTGATTAACCCCTCAGAATCCCAGGCTTATTACATACTAAGGCTTATTATACAAACTGGCTGAGCTATTCTCAGGTTATAGAAGTGTGTAACAAAACTTTGGGCCTGCCGGCTGGCCCTGGCCTTGTGATTGGTTAATGAACCTGCAAGATTTTTGTGATTCTTAAAGCACAGCATTGGTTAGAAATATAGCATACAAAAAATACTGTTGTTATTCAGAATCGCCAAGGCTAATCAGGAAATAGGCTGCATTTCAGTGCTTGAATATATTAGAGTGTTTCTTAACAAAATCTCATAGTTTCATAGGTAGCTTATATAGAAATACTTCAATGATTAATAATAAATGCAGTTTATTAACAGAAACTGCAAATAAAACACTAGACAAAAAGATAATTTGAAATTAATTAATACTGGGTGCTGTTAGATTAATTATTAATCAAAAGTACAATCCTCATATAAGTTGATTACTGAAATAATTGACTGGCCTTAAACTTTACATCATTTGTGATGCTTCTCTTGTTTCAAAGAAATAGTTTTTGAAGTAGGCAAACTGTATAACAGCTGCTAGTGGAGATTTCACCTTTGGGTCAACTCCGACCTGTAATGGATGCATGCATCACCACAGTGGTACAAATCCCACCTCCGATAAAACACTGATAATCTCTTTAAGAGGACATGACATCGCAGAATGTGAAATTGGAAAACAATTTGGCATAATTTTGGCAGTAAGAGGTGCTAACAACTTGCTAAACAAGGTTTTGTTACCATAAAAACAGGGACTTGTGCATGGCTGTGTAGAGCTCAGAGTTAGTCATTGCTTCATGGGAATTAGTACAGTGAGTAATGTTACAGCCACGTATGTTACAGATTGAAATTCAGATCCTTGGTCGGATAGAAATAATTTTTTGGTTGCCCTGTGAAAAACTCAACACTACATTTATTTTCCTCTGAAACAGAATTGATCTATTTTCATAAGAGTGATGCAAAATACTTTTGGATTATTTTGATTCGCATTCATGTAGACTTTTTTTCCCTTTAGCCCTTGTCCCCAAAAACTGTCTGTGCATGGACTTATATACCAGTGTGTCATACAGAGTCAGATACCACATAATTAAGTCAACTTAAGATTACTAAATAACACAGCACAATGTGAAGCAAGTATGTGGTGATTTAAGCTTTCAGTTTGTATATGTAAGCTGTATTCGGCTAGTAGCTTCAGTGTAAAACAAAGGCCCAATCCCATTTCACCCCTTGCCCCTACCACAAAGCCTTTATCCTTCCGTTTTGCGCGCTCATGCCTAGGGTTAGGGTGTCCTGATTTTTATTGAGATGTAGGGGTAGGGCGAAGTGTTAGGGCTACATAGCCCTCCAAACGGAGGTTTTTCAGAGGCAAACTCCAAACGGAATGTTATGAGAAAAAAAGAAAAAATGGCAAGATGGCTGCGCGAGCGACCAAAAAAACAAACAAATAAAAAATTACAATAACCATTGTATTATCTTAGTTTAATGTCGTTTCAATGTATTATGGTCCTTTTCTTCATAACAAGCATTAAAAATTTCTAGTAGTATGCTGATTTCTCGGTAGCTAGCTAGCTAAATTTCCCGATCCACCTTAAATGTTGCAGTAGTTACATGCTGACGCTTCACGCATCAGAACTGCTGCACTATTTAAGGTGGAATGGGAAAGTTTGAATGAGAAGCGGGTGAATAGCTGAATTTAACTTCATACAGAGCACTGCTAGTAGCCTGTTAATGAAGAAGTGTTCTTTTTTGTTGGGTTGTCCCATTTCATAGGGAAAGATTTCAACCACTCAACAACTCAGTTCCAAGGGGCAACGTGACACTCGAAAACAAGTGGTAGAGGTAAAAATAAGAAATGGGATTGGGCCTAAAGAAACAAAATTAAGACATCAAACATGTTTTTGCTGAGCATCTACTAAACAAATCTGCGTAAGCTTTTTAATTCAAATTGAAAAAGTAGCGTTTCTAAGTCAGGAGAAAAAACTTGCAATTACACATTTCCACCAGAGAGGTCTCCATATCACCTCGACCTACATAGTGTAGCTTTAGAGAAGTCAATTTGTTGAACACAATATATTGTTTCAAGTTATAGTTTTTGCAGGAAGATTTTAGTATTCAGACCTGAATTTTGCTTGCACTTTTGACCATTTGTCCAAACTTGGGATGCCAAACATGTCTTGGCTGACTACATTTGGGCTAAGAGGTAATTTGTGTAACTTTTTTTCTTCACTGAACTATTCCTTTAATCCCTATATAATTTAGTCAAGGCATGCCACTGTATTGACCTCAATAGTTCAGACCAGTTTCCAATCCTGATCCTTTATAATTCCTAATTTGCATATTTTAATGTTTCTTGTTCTATAACTTGATTCAACTAATCAGCCTTTCATTAGGATAAAACAAGGATGCTAGAGGGGAGAACACTAAAATGACACCTTGACTGGTCTATAGCTAATACAGCAGAAAAAAAACCAAAAAACATTCTTACCTGTTGTTGTGCAAAGTGGTCGGATCAGTATAAATCTCTTCTTAGACAATGCCAATTTTGCAGCAGTTCCATTAGAAATCAAAGGAATAAAACGAAGTAGAAAACGAGACATCCTGCAGGAGGAATTGAACTTCACCCCTCCTCCTCAACAAAAGCTCAGTGACTGCACTCTGAAGCCTCTGAACTGAATATTTTTACTGCTGCTTACTCCACGTGCCCTCCCTTGCTCAACAGCCAATGTGAGACTGCTCAAAAGCGTGCTTAGAGCTGATAATGTAGGTCAAAGTTAACAAAAACTACCATCAGCTTCCAGCCACGCGGTAATGGGAACTGATGTGACCTGCAATAGCAGCCAATGCCATTAATAATTAACATCTAGTCTTTTGCTTTTATCTTATCATTTAGTCTTGAATACTTGATAAATCCATCTTTGACACTGAAACCCACTACAACAAAAAACTTCCTGTGACGTTCACTGCAACATGTTATGTAGTTTCAGACAGATTACAAATTAGCCCAAATTTTATTATTATTATTATTATTATTATTATTATTATTATTATTATTATATTATTATATTATTTTTCAAAAATTCTGCATACTTCACTAGTTAAAATGTGTATGAAGTCATTCAGAGTGGTTTGAGGTGATGGTTCATTGTAGAGAAACTTATGGAGTCAGAGGTACATGCAGGGCATTTTAAGGCAAGATAGTCCAAAAAAAAACCCTTATTTTTTCAGATTTTCCACTATTTTACCAGAACAGGTTCACTGGTGGTTTTGGATAGTTAATAAAATGTAAATAAATGAAAGGCTATGTCTGACATCATGGCCCTTGGTATCTATCACCACCACTGTAAAGAAATCTGAGTAGCTAAGTTTCCCTATGATTAATAATTTCACATCATACCACTCTGAATGACTTTGTTTAAATTCATTAATTTATGCAAAACTGAGAAAAATCTGTGGAATTCTTTTTAGATATGTATAATGACAAAAAAAAAAGATTTTGTTTTGTAATGTGTTTAATCTTCATATGTCTGACTGATAACTCGTTGTATGTGACATACTCACTAAAAGTGATGCATTGAATTGACTTTGTTTTTCAAATGAATGAAATCTGTTACATCCATACAATTTTGTATTTCAGTTTACTTACTTTAGACTATAAATGTGATGTAATATATTTGTAGAAAAAATTAATCATGTAAGAAAATCATTCAAGTAAAATTAATGCAGCACTTTGTTCAGCACAGTCCTTATTAGTCCCAGCAAAGACAAGCACCTACACAGCTAATTTGCATTCATATTTAATTATTATGTAAATACAGAGATATAAAAAGATCCAAACTGTAACTTTGCTATTAAATTCTTCCAGTTAGTGTCTCAGATTGTTTGGTATTGTATAGCTGCAGGTGTGCCGCACTTCATGAGGTTGCCAGGTTGATGCATGAGGTCTATAATATAACTCTGGGGTTGAATGTAGAATCCATTTTTTGGGGGGCTGCTGAGAAGAACCTCATTCCAGGCCCGACAGTATTCCCCTCTCACCAAGCTACAGCTCACTCCTATCCTGTCTGCCAAAGCCTGCAGAGCACAGCACGGATTTGAAACAAAATCAAACTGCTGCATGCAGCTCAAGCAGTGATAATGTGAATTAAGTGATTCTTCAGCCAAAAATCTAATTTCACAGATTTCCCCTCTTAACCTAAATATAATCGATCGGCTGAGACATGTTTGGTTTCTTTAGTTTAACTTCTTTAACTTTTTTTAGTTTGGTTCTTTAGTTTAATACTGAAACTACAAGACTAATGTGCAAAGGTCAAGAGACCATCCTTCATTTATTTACTTTCCAGTCAAAAGGCCGTTAAGTATACATTTTTCAGTGTCGGGAAAAAAAGCACAACATATACTAATATACTTAACAGAAAATTGCACAGACCTCAACGGCTAAATGTAACTTTACATTTTTCAGTATTTAGTGTGTGAAGATTTTGCTTTCCATTCCAGCTTCCATTTTTTTCAGGAGACTCGCTTTCATTTTTTTCAAAGACATCTGCAGGGATATTTTTTTCATACCTCCAAAGTTCTTAGAAGTTGTTTTTTTCATTTTCTACTTCTTAAGATTTAAGTAATCCCAAACACATTCAGTAATGTTAAGGTCTGGAGGTCTAGTCAGTCTTAGAACTTAGAACACCAGCAGCTTCTTTGTTTGAGTTGTCTGTTTCCTTTTCTCTGTAAGAGCTTCTTAACAGCTACACATCTTTTTAGACACATAGTGTTGTCTTCTCACAGTGGAAAGATGGACAGAAACACGTCTGGATTTTTTTTCAGATCTGAAGCAAGAGTGGAGCTTGATTTTCTGTTTTAGTGGTCTACCAGGTTTTGCTTGGCTGTTAGGAGTCCCATTTTCTCTATAACTTTTAATAGTATTTTTGAACTCCAGTTTTGGCCGTTTGAAAACATTTGAGCAAAGGGGGGAAAACTGTGTAAATGTTTGGCTTGATCATCACAGATAGAGGACTGGATCTTTACTTTGAAAAGCAGGGCTCTGTGGTAGTAGGTGCCTTTTTTGATCTTTCCGATGGGGATGATGTTAGACCGGAGTTCAAACTTCAGCTCACTCAAGTGAAGCTGCCAAGGAAAGTCATGCTGTTTCTTAATATCCACGGGACCCCCCATTGCATCACACACCAACCTGTATGAATCATTTATCACATCATAATTAATATTAATAACCACATTATTAATACATTTTATCACTGTTTATGATATCACATTGTATTGATAAAAAAACACCAAGAGCCAATTTCCCAGTCCCAGATTAGGGCTAAGACTACACAAAAAAAAATTCCAATGCTATTTCTTAATTGAGACTGAAATTTACTCCAACTTTCTGCAAAGCTGAACCTACATATATAAGATAATACATGTACATACATGTAATGTTTTCAATGTCATTTTTTAAAGTGATAATGTAGTGGTGGTTATTCATTTTAAGGATTTCTTCTTTAAAAACTTCCCTGCTGATAGTATAACGGTATCGCAGTGTGCTTTATTACTACATATAACCACATTAATGACTGCCATCTGTCTCATGAACGTTCCAGCTTTGGGAGATCATTAGGATTGGAGTTAGGTAAAACTCACTTAGCCAAAGCAGTGTATATCTCAGCTTCTTCATTTTGGGGCAGGACCATTTTAGCTGCCTCTGCGATTAGGCACTGAAAGGCAGTGTCGTACGGCAGAGCCCACGGCTCTTCCACTCCAGCATCCTGCAGTGGTTTATACCCATCCTCATCTCTCTGTTTCTCATCCTCCTGCCGGCCTTTACCTTTCATTTTACTTAAAAAAAAAAGATTAATGGAAAATTGGTGAGAGATTCCTGACTGATGTTACTTTATTTCATTGTGAAATAATTCAGTGCAGCATGAAATCTCAAATCCCACCACAATTCTACAGTTCAAATATGACTGGACGTTTATCTGTTTCTTTGCATAATTTGTTATCCCCCTTTCACCCTGTTCTTCAGAGCAGGTATTATTTGGATGGTGGTTCATTCTTAGTACTGCAGTGACACTGACGTGGTGGTGGCCTGTTAATGTGTGTTATGCTGGTACGAGTGGATCAGATACAGCGGTGCTGCTGGAATTTGTAAACACCTTAGTGCCACTGCTGGGCTGAGAATAGTGCACCAATCAAAAACATCCAGCCAACAGCATTCGGTGGGCAGTGTCTTGTGATCATTGATGAAGGACTTACTAACACAAACTGTGCAGCAACAGTTGAGCTACTGTCTCTGACTTTACATCCTTACAAGGTGGACCAGCAAGGTAGATTTGTCTTATTGAGTGGACAGTGAGTGGACACAGTGTTTTAAAACTCCAGCAGCACTGCCAGCAGTGTCTGATCCACTCGTACCAGCGCAACACACAGTAACACGCCACCACCACGTCAGTGTAACTGCAGTCCTGAGAATGATCCACCAGCCAAATAATACCTACTCTGTGATGGTCCTGGGGGGCGGTGGTGCTGACCACTGAAAAACAGGGGGAAAGGGAGCTAACACATTATGCAGACAAACAGATGGACTACAGTCTGTAAATGAACACCTACAAAGTGCACCTATATGGTAAATGGATCCGATAAAATGGACAAAGAGTGTAGAAACAAAGTATGTATACTTAATGAAGTGGCTGGTTGCATTTAAGCAACCTTAGTGAGAGACATGAAAAATTGGTTTATGAATGGGGAACGTCCTGAGATCTCACAGGTTAAGACTAAGGACTCCAACTTGAAATGAGGCAGGCAAATGCACATGCACACTCACCTTGGTGTTTTGCTGCTCCCTTTGCTGCTCAGAACAGATGAAGTGCGGGTTTCTGTTGGACTGTCCTGCTGTCTGTCCTCCACTGACTCAGCAGTCACCCTGAAACCACAACAAAGCATAATTTTTAGTCTGGCCTGGCTTTAAAACAGTTGCATTTTTTTACTTAGTCAAATGTAATTTGTTGTACTTCATCTAATCATTAGCTACTCCAGCACCAGCTGATGCTACTTGAACATGTTGCCTTTTTGACCTGTTTTACATCTGTATTTATTGGCTAGTGCTTATGCCCTACAAAAGCTGTCATTGCTTGAATTGTGCTTATACAAATGGACAATTAAAGGAACACTCCAGTATTTTTCAACCTAATCTCTAATGCTGCACCAGTATTGTATGGTCAGTTATCACAGTCACTAATTTCCCGGTGCTTAAAAAGGACTAAAGGCATTGGCTCACAATGCACTTAGAACAGAATTCTATTATAATTGTGTTTTTGAGTTAATGGCTTTTCTGTCCTTTGAGTAAAAACACAGAAACGTGTCAAAATTATTGCCTGTTGTAATCAACCTTGTGCTACAGATGCGGCAGATAGGATGAAATTTGGACAGCAAAGGATCCAGTAGTCAGAAATATGACACAGATTGGCACTTGCCAGGACAAGGATAAAGGAGCTTTAAAAGATCTTCAAATGTAATGACTCTACAAACAAAAATCAGGTTCTTTATAGAATCTGAAAGCTAGACAGTAAGAAGCAGGACCAAATCAAGTATCCAGACTGAAGCTCCTATTTTGGGCATATTATGAGAATTCACTGGGAAAGACAATTATGCTACGAACAGTTGAAGCTAAAAGAGCCATAGTTTTATGAAAAAGCCATAGTAAAGAAGCCTGAAGAGTCAAACAGAAGACAGGACATTCTGGAGATACACTATCCATATGGTCGCCAGGAGTCGGAATCCATTTAATGGCACTTAATAATACTAATAATAATATTCCTTTAAGCTTTATGTTAATGTAGGGTGTCACTTACAGTAACAGAAACAACAACACTTAACAGTGCCAACGTCACTGCAGTTTTACGTTTACAACAGCATGCTTATCTGAGCTGTTAGTAAACAGCTTTTATTAGCTGGAAACAGGTCATGTATATAGCCACTCAAATCAAGCAGTGAGTAACTGCATTCTAACCCCTTTAAGTAGACTTGCCAGGGAAAAGGCTAATTAAGATGGCAGTGCAATCACTGAACCAGAACACATACACAAAAAAACTCCATGGTGACACACTGCAGGGTCATTAACATGCTTTACTGGCAATGAGAGTGAATTATAGTGCTCGGGCCTCAATTACGTAACGCAAGACAGTTTAATATTCCAGTGATAGTGTGAGCTAGTGGTGGCAGATCAATGTGGAGTTTTAAAACCTCTTTACCAAACACAAAGAGCCTGTTTTCTCTTTAAAGTGAACTTGGTCAACACTGAAAAGATCAATTTCACAGTGAAAAACAATGAGCAGAGGGGGCAGAATGGCAACATGGAGGAAAATGACAATAAACAGCTAAACCACATTATACTCTGAAAAGTGATTCTTTGGTTCAAATGTCTACCATTTGCACATGTGAAAAATATACTTACTATATTACATACACAATTACTGCCAAAAGCAAGACTGAGATACAAAATTGTGCTTCTATTTTATAATCAAGTGGAAATGATGTATCAAGTATTTTCAGTGCATTACTTCAGCTGTAAAACGTGATGACTGTGAATAATTCTGAGATGTTTTGGACTGGATTTAATTCAGAAATTGGTCAGACGTGAACATAGTAGATCTACATATATGAATTGTTCAATTTTGACTTCTATGCCCAAATAGTGCACTATATATCCCAAACTCAATTGTTCATATGTGGCTGAATTCCAAATGGCTCTTTGTTAGACATGGTAGGCACTGTTTGAGTGCAGGAGCTATTCATTTAAAGGGGACTTCCATAGATTTTTCAAAATACTGCATAATTACATCATGATTATGTCAACGAAGATATTCAGAGTGATTTGATATGAAATGCTCCATTCTAGAGAGTTAGAATTGTTCACATAGGTATCGATAGGAACATGCAGGGTGTTCTAATGCTATAGGCTTCCATTACATGTTAGCTACATTAGCCCTGTAGCTCCAGTGCAAAACTAAAGAAGCAAACTTCAAACACCAAACATGCCTTGGCTGACTGACTACAACAGAGGTTCATTTTAGGCCAAACCTCTAAAAACAGGACAATACTTTAAGATCATAACTGTGATAAATAATCTTCACTATGTTGTAATTATTTAAAGAATATTTGTATCCTCAGGCAGTCAGCAATACATGACCCAGCTGATGTGAAAAAGAGTAAAATATGTTGCAAAACCCCAACCCTTGGCCTTGACATACTGATCCTGAGGTTTTCCATTAACTGCAATGACGGCTCGATGCTGGTTGATAACCTGCTTGGCTATATCTTCTAGGGCAGGAACCCTGTCACCCATTCTGGCCTGTGAGCAGAAAGAGGAAGTAAGAGAGGATTGTCTTACGGTGCAGTAGGGATTAACAGAACTTCATCTCAACAACAGCGTGTTCATTAACCTGTCCTGGGTCGTAGAAGCCATCAGCAATGATATCAGTGTGAGACAAGTGTCCAGTCAGGCTGTATTTTACTGAAAGGTTGCTGTCCAGCAGTCTCTGCAGCGCTGCCTCACTAAACTTATTCTTGCGGTTCAACGAGCAGTTAATCTCCTGGAGGATCTCCAAAGCTCTGCATCAGAGGAAACAAACACTATAAAACAATTTGAACTTTTATCGAAACTATCTATATAACGATAGAACAGAACAGTTCTGGAATTTTCTAATCCTGGAGCTTTAGCCCCTTCTGCTGGCTGTTCTTGAACACTACATCTAATACATGCAACATGCATTTTGGGGGTTGGCTTGAAAACAGTAGTATTTACGAGGCCAGTTTCGCAGACATGGATTAAGCCTAGTCTTGGACAAAGTTGAAGCATCAATGCTGTTTCACCATTGAAAATTCTTTTCAGTCCAGGCTTATGCTTAATCTGGGTCTGGGAAACTGGCCCTATCTGTCTGAATGCTTGTAGACACCTGCTCATCCAGTGTTTCTTCTGAACTGAAGGGTATTAATTTGGGGGTTTGTCCCCCTTTACTGCAGGAACAGCTCCTTATGGGAAAGTTTTACACTAGATGTTGAAACATTGCTGTAAGGATTTGATTGCATTCAGCCACAAGAGCATGAGCATGAGTCAGCTACTGATGTTGGACGATCCGTTCCGTATCACTTCAATTCACCCTAAAGGTTTTGAATGGAGCTCTATCACTTTAGAGAACACTGTTTCACTGCTCCACAGCCAAATGCTGGGGAGTTTTATTTTCCTCTAGTCCCTCTGAGCGTGGGACTCGTGTGGCTACTCTAGAGCTTCCCATTCTATTGGTCAACTGGTTAAAGCAGCTAAATTCACGCAGTCCAATCTCATTTGTCAGATATTAGCTGAATATTTTAATCACTGACGCTATAGGAACATGTTGCAGCATTTAGTAGTTTATTTAAATATTGTTTAATCAACCAATGGCTTATCGTAGTTTTGGCCATCCAAAAGCCGACATTACTTGAACAATGCTCATGCCAATTTGAGCAGTAAATTAATGTGAATACTACACCATATCACATATTCAAGCATATTAAATGAATATTAAACATGACCTCACCCTAATTTGCACATCTCTGTAGCAGTTGGTTCATCATTCGCGCACACACTGACTGCCCAGCATGCATTCCGACGAATTTCAGTGTTGTTTGATTTCAGCAGTTTGACTAGCGGCAGCAGGCCTCCAGCATTTCTCAACTGCACATACACAAAGAAATATTCTCAGCAAGAAATACTGAGACGTAGTTACTTACAAAACCTTTACTAATACTATTTTTTTTTCCTAACAGCAAAAATGCTACATTGTACCTTGTGTTTTTGTTTGAACATACAATTAAAGTGGAACCCCAACTGTTTTTAAACGTCTGCACAATTAAATGATTAAGATGTAAAATACTTCGATGTGAAATGCTCGATTCTAAAAAAAAAGATGAATTATGTTATGAATACATGTTACTGTCTGAGGCATTGTTTTGTAAAAGTTTGGAGATGGTTTCAGCCAAAAACACATTTTAAGACATTCATGGTAGAGAGATACATGCAGGGCATTGTAAGCAAAATAGTGCCCAAAGAAAACTTTTCAGACTTACCACTATTTTACCATTATCAGCATTACATATAAAACTCAGAAGAGACGTGTAAGTGCAATGGTTGTCTTGAATAAAAAATACAATGGCTATACATAATAACCCCTGGTGCTTGTCATCACTACTGTAAAGAAATCTGACTCAGTAAGTTTCTCTACAGTGAACCATTTCACATCAAACCACTCTGAATGACTTTGTTTACATCTCAACCACTGAATTATACAAAAATGATGAAAATCCAGTGAAATTTAACTGATAACTAGTGATCAATTCAAAGGTTTGGAATCACTCATAATTGTAATAATAGTTGCTGTGTAATATGAAATGCATATATTCATAAATATTATCAACTAGAAACCAGAAGGTCGTTTATAGATGTTTTATTCAATAGACCTATTGACAAGAGCAAGCAGTTAAATAACATAATTGTAATTATCTATTTATAGTGTCTGCCTGGAGGTTTGATCGCTTTTGAAATACGAGGAATTCTGGAAAGATGACTGCTGATGTTGAGCAGATATGATACCTCGCCTCTTCCCTCTGCGTTGCAGGCCAGCGTAGCCACAGCCTGGGTGGCGCTGATGAGCGTGTGGTTGTCTGTGGACTGCAGCGGCTCCAACAGTGCCCGCATGGCACCGTGAGTGATGATGCTGCAGCGCAGGGCCTCCTGGGATGCCATATTGGTCAGGACTGACGCCACATGCGCCACTGCCCCAGAACAGCTGTCCTGCAGAAGTCGAACCAGAAGCTCTTCTCCTTTTGCTTCAGAAACCGCACTGAGAGTGGACAGGAAGCACTCACTGTGTTACTGAATACTGCTGTCAGTCCATTTTTTATAGATATCAGTATGTCACACAGTGACATAAGCAAGTATATCAGAAATTACTGAAAGAATTCTACCATTTTTTCCAATGTTGTGTTCTGCAATAGCTGACACAGCAAAAGGCTCTGTCTCAGAAAGTGAAAAATACATCTACATGCAGTAGAATAATTCAGGCCAACTGGTCAGAGTTTATGGGTAAACTGTGTTAGTCAAGATTTCAGCTTTATATGACTGTATTCCTCCAAAACTGTGGAAAAAAGCATTTGTTATATGGGTAAACTGTACGGGTTGATACTGTGAACTTGACACCCGTGAAACTGCATTATTGTGTGGTTGGCTGGCACTCACTATGCATTCAGCTGGTTGCTGTTGGTCAGGCTGGACAGGGCCTGAGCTGCAGCCTCTTTTACCTCATTTCCCTCACTGTTCAGCAGCTGCACAATGGGTCTGATTCCATCTGAAATACAAACACCTTCATCACTCTGGGACCTTTTCCTGTAGCCTCATTCAATCAGTGGCAACCAACATAGCCACCTGAGCAAAGGAGCAAGTGGATCCTGTGCAACCCCAAGCATACACAATCAAAATTTTGATTTGCAGTGGAAATATCTGTGTGGGTATGAGTTAAAGTTATTTTTTTTTAATAATTTAATGAATCTCCCATAAAATAGATCAGTGAAAATGCCTCATGATTTGCTATGATATTTAAGCAGAAGCAAGGCATGCCGCAATGCAATTTGATTATTAATCCTGAACCAAATTGTTTCTTGAAATCTTGACTAAATATGTTGAAATAAGTAAATGTAGCAGCATTATATCATGAAACACACTCGAGTACAAATGATAATGGCTGACTAATGTTTGACAGTTAATGCCTTTAACAACAGATAACACCCTTATTCAACCCCTTCAACCTCTAAAAAAAACCCCACGATATTTTCATTCAAAATCAGGTGCCTATGGCAACCATCACATCGTAGTGTATATTAGTCTCATAGTAGCCAACAGGGCTGCATGATATATTGTTTGTTAATCATCATCATCATCATCGTCGTTAACCGCTTAGTCCAGCTAGGGTCGCGGTAGCAGTTGGGAGAGCAGAGAATCCCAGACGACCCTGTCCCCCGCAACTTCCTCCAGCTCATTCCCGGGGACCCCAAGCTGCTCCCAGGCCAACCTGGAGATATAATCCCTCCAGCGCGTCCTAGGACGACCCCGGGGTCTTATCCTGGTAGGCCGTGCCTGGTACACCCCCACCGGGAGGCGTCCAGGTGGCATCCAGATCAGATGCCCGAACCACCTCAGCTGGCTCCTCTCAATGCGGAGGAGTAGCGGCTCTACTCCAAGCTCCTCCCGTGTTAATCAGTATTGCAATATTTGCCTGAGAAGGTTGCAAAGCACAAGTGATCCAGTATTTTGTTGTGCTGTTAACATTGTGACCAACCTCATGTTTCCCTAAGGTCTTGGGATGAATAGAGGTGTTTAAATAATCAATTTGGTCAAAATAATACAGGCCAGTCTTTGAACATTTTCCTTCAAATAATACCCATGTGGTTATATTGCAAAGTATTTTGCATTTTGCAGCCCTAGTAGATACAGAATAATTCATGATAGGATCATAAGCCTTAAGATTATTTAACAGAATAATGAGCCATTAGACCTTTAATTAAGCTAAAATTCTATGATACAATTGACAATTTAACAAAGTTATAATAGAATAGGGCTATTACCGAGATGTCTGAAAGTATCCTTGCTGCTCAGGTTACTGCTCATTACTGCCACTGCCTGGCACACAGCAGTACGTATGCCCTCATTCTCCATCGCAAGCAAGTCAATGAGGGCCTTCTCAACGTCTTGCTCATGTAGGATCTTTCTGTTCTCACCTAGACAACACAATACAACACAAGACAGTGTTTCTGATATTACTGGTATGAGCAAAAGCAAGACTAGGACGGTACAATATTAGCACAACAAAATCACAAAATTTTCTTGTCAAAATGTAAGGATTATCAATAACACTGCCCAAATTTACACCAGCTAAATGTGAGAGGTGGTTCACATGTAAAAAAACACATTTCCCATCATCTTAGGCGATACAGATGGCTGTAGGAAACCATGAAGTATTATATGTTCATACAAACAACTTAAATTCCAATGATTTTGCAAAATATCTACATAAATAAATGGTTAAGATGTAAACAAAGTTATTCAGAGTGGTTTGATGTGAATGCTCTGTTCTAAAGAAACTTACTAAATCAGAATTGTTCACAGTGGTGGTGATAGGATCCAGCCGTACACCTCTAAAAGCTCCCTCACAGAAAGTTATCACATATAAGGCAAAATATTGCCCAAGGGAAATGTATTTTTTCAGATTTTCCACAATTTTACCATCACCATTACATTTTATCACTCTGAATGACGTTTATATCGTAACCCTTTAAATCTCAGGCTTATTACATACTAAGGTGTATTATTTAGTAACTACAAGGACTTCAGTGCAACTGGTTGAGCTATTGTAAGACTATATCAGTGTGTGATAAAACTTTTGGCCCGCTGGTGGGCTCTGGTCATTTCAGGGGTTAACCGTTTAATTATACAGAAATTCTGAAATTTTTTTTGCATAATTGAATTTTTTAAAAATCAGCATTCCACAGTGTACTGCTTTACACTCTCTATAGACATCCACAACATGAGAATGAGTAAATGTTTTTTTCCATACTGCTCTGTGCCACTCTGGAGATGGCTTTAACTGCGTTTGTCTGCACTTCAGGTGAGGTGGGTGTGATAATGAACTGCAGCAGTTTTTCCAGCCCCCCTGTCCCTTGTATAAGCTTTGTGGACTCAGTGTCCTCCAGGCAGTTGGAGATGACCCTCAAAGCATCCACATGAAGGTCACTGAACTCCTGCCAACAAGAGGCACATCTCAGGTGACAAAGTGATTTTAAACGATCAGCAAAGTCAGAACACTGCTATCAGCATTTCTGTAAGCCCACTGAACTTCACAAGGATACTGTAGCCTTTTATTGTATCATTATTAGCAATATGTCTGCAAAATAATCATATTAACAAATTTAAAATTTCCCCCTTACACCAAATGTATTCTATCAGCCAAGACATGTTTGGTATCTGAAATCTGCTTTAGTTTTGCGCTGGAGCTACAAGGCTCATGCAGCTAACAAGTTAGCAAAGTAAGCAAGAAATGGCATAAAGTATGCCATTAGCATTGTTAGCATGGTGCTAACTGCATGTCTAAATCATAACACTAAATCATAAATTCAAATTGTGTAGTGTTGTTCAGTGATCTCTAATAGACTTGCTTATGTAGTTTCTGACACTAGGAAAGTGACGTATATAAGGCATTTTTCTGCAAATTTTAGTGCACAATACTATTTATTTGCTTAATTTAACATATTGGGAAAAAATAAAACATAAAATAATGAAATGTGACATAACCTTTGTGCAGGATATAATTGATATAATGCAGCAAATAATTTAGTTAATTTTAAAATAATTTATATAATTTTGCATAAAAATGTGCAGAGGTTTGTTCCCTGTAGGCAAGGTTGGGATGAAATTAGGTTCATCTTAATTTCTAAATTTTTATTTAGTCCAAGTTATATTTTATAAAGGCAGTATTCAGAATACAGTTACCTTTTAAATTTTTAGGAGAATACTTTTAGAATACTTACCCAGTAAAAAAAACATATACCATCTTTAAAAGAAACAAACATCATCAATGTTTGTTTATTAACTACTTTAAAATCAGCACATGGTGTGTTAAGAACACTGAAGAACAATTTAAACGGCTTTTTTACACTACAGTTCATGCCAAAGCATTAGTAGACTGATAAATCAATATGTTGATCAGTTATCAATCTCAGTGTTATTGAGCTCTGCTAAAGCCTGAGTAGACTGATAAATCAATGAGATGATCAGTTTCTAACTCAGTGTTACTGAGCTCTACTAAAGTCTGAGTAGATAGATAAATCAATGAGATGATCAGCTATTAAACTCAGTGTTACTGAGCTCTGCTAAACACTGAGTAGACTGATAAATCAATGTAATGATCAGTTATTAATCTCAACATAAATACACTTTTTTGAAGGATGAATGAACTGAACACTCTCCTCAGTGGTGGACATGTTCATGAGTGATAAACTTACATTAGTTGTACCGGATTTGTGCATGCACTTTGTGGCAAGTTACATACATGACATTAACTAAAAGTCACATAGCTACACACTTCGTCAAATTTGTGAGATTTAATTACTGGCATATGGTAAATTGTTTGCTTAGTTCATGAGATGGCAGTAGGATTATGGGAGTAGCAGTGGACTAAAGCTGGCCACTGATAAGAACTTTTTTTTTCATTTAAATAATTAAATTTTTATTTAAACTATTAATTAAAAATTACATTAATAATACTGTCAACCAAGAACAGCAAGGAACAGTGTGAATTACATAAAAAGGACAAAAGCAGCATTTTTCCTATGTGCCTTTTCAACATGTATTGTAAACGTATGTATTCTAAAAGTATTCTGAATATTGTTCTGTATTGTAACGGAATACATTACTGAATAGATTTAGAACAGTGCATTCAGTATTCAACCATCACTGCTTTTTCAAAGTATTTTGCCCAGCACTGCCTGTAGAGGATGTGTTAACTTATCTTCACAATCAACAAAACATGTAATTTGACTGGCGCATCCAAACTTTTGCATACGACTGAACCTCTCCGCCATAAATATATTTTTATATATTACCTTTTAGGCCAAAGATTACTTAAAACTAGCATCAAACAATGTCTCATTTAAGCCTTGCATGCTTAATGCTTTGCTAATGTGGTTTCAGTCACATAAGCATTCTTGTAGCATTGTAACTTCAGTGAAGTGAAGTTTAGACACCAAACATGGTCTTGGTGACTACATTTTGGGAGAGGCCGATTTTTTTTATCCATCACTTTAAATATATATCTTAATTGAGTACAAGAACAGTGCGCATTATTGACACGAGGGTAGGGGAGGCACAAGGCTGCTATAATGATTTCTAATGCTATGATTATAATAGCTTTGTTGGTACTGAGCTTACTTTAGTTGTGAGGAGTTCCAGCAGTCTGTTGAACCCCTGCTCTACTCTGAAGGCTGCGCGTGTCTCAGCGTCTGTGGTGATGCTCTCCAGAGTTTGTAAAGCGAGCTGCTGAATTATGGGGAAGTCTGAGTGCAGCAGCTCCAGCAGTGGGGGGAGTCCATTTAACTCACGCACCGCCACTCGACTAGGCAGATCCTAAATGTGCATATATCCTCAGCTCAATTTTTTTGCAAGAAACATATGAATTATACAGCTGCTTGACAGCTGCAAGAATACACTGTCCAGTTTCTTAAGTCCACCTGCATAAAAAGATGCAGCTGTTAAACTTAAAAAAGTAAGTTACTGGGTTAACTTGAAATGTTGAGTTCAAGTTAACTTCAATTAATAAGTGAGTAAATATAAATCAAAATATATCTGTCTGTTAACTAAATATTACAAGTTCAACTAAAAATTTTAAGTTTACCCAGTTAATTATTTTTTACGTTTAAAAGCTGCATACTTTTTTTTACATTTTTTTTAAATCTAAGCTACAGACCTCAGTTCTAAAAAAGTAAAATGCTAAAAAATCAGAAAGCAGTGATTTGTACATTTTGTTTAACCTGTACAAAACAAAATATTTGATGCCTTATGAACACTGTTCTTTTGGTAAATAAGTGTTCCATTAAAATTTTATGCCTGAAACACGTTCCAAAAAAGTTGGTACAGGAGCATGTTTACCATGTTTATCACCTTTCCTTTAAACAGCACTTTGTAAAGGTTTGGGGACCGAAGATATCAATTAATCCAGTTATGAAAACAAATTTTTTGCCATTCGGGGTTTTTGTTGTACATATTTTGCGTATCATAATGCTCCACACATTTTTAGTGGGAGACAGTTCTGGATTGCAAGCAGGCCAATCTAGCACTTGCACTCTCTGAATGCACAGCCATGCACAACACATGCAGAATGTGACCTGTCGTGGTCATGCTGAAATAAAAATGGATGTCCCTGAAAATAGAAAGCAGCGTATGATTCTCCAAAATGTGTACATATCTTTCAGAGTTAATGGAGTCTTCACAGGTGGACACTAATACAACCCTTATCCTGGTTTTTGAACTTTACACTGGTAACAGTCTGGATGGTCCATTTCTGCTTTGGCCAGGAGAAACGTTTACTCGTCACACCACAGCACAGGTTTCCACGGTGCATCGGTCCATTTCAGATGACCTCAGATAGCTTCCACTCAAGTTGCATTTGTGATTTCAGCAACAGACGTTCAATCAGTCTTTGACAACAGTTTGTAAAAGTATTCCTAAACCCATGTGGTGATATGCATCATATTAGCATGTCGGTATTTAATGCAGTGTCGCCTTATGGCATCAAAGGTCACAGGCATTCAGTGGTTATATTATGCACCGTAGAGGGTGAAATACCTAAAATCCTTGCAATTGTTAGTTGAAGAATGTTGCTCTCAAACTGTTATTATTCTAATTCACTGATACATTTTTTGGCAAGTTTTTACCCATCCTTGGGTCTTAAATTGCTCCGGTCTCAACTTTTTTGGAATGTGTTGCAGGCATAAATTGTCTTGTTTTTGTACTATTTTCATTTAAATACAGATCAAAGGTCATTTACATCTGTTTTTTATTCTCATTTCACATACTGTCCAAATTTAATTCAACTGGAATTGGAATTAAAGTTTGTACACATTAACCATTTCTCAGAAACATCCACCATATAGTTATCCTTTGTAGATTTACAGTTATAAATTGTAGCTCATCTGTTAATGCACAGTTTATCAGCCCCCTCTACTTCATCCATCAATAGCCAGTGACTGTAGCTGCGAAGTGACATGCTGACCTACCTGAACGAGATTAAAAATGCATTCCACAGAATTCTTCTTCACATCAGGATCTGGGCTGGACAGAAGACGGAGAAGAGGTTCCAGTCCATTGTGATCAAATATCTGGACTTTGCATGTGAAGTCCACGGATAGAGATGCCAAACACAGAGTGGCAAATTCATGGACAACAACATCCTCTATGTGTGGAAAACATGATTAGAAAGAGCATATTATATACATTTCAAAATTTGTGGACAAGAAAATCACAGAACTGTTTTCCACAGAATAAAGAATGTGTTACTGTGCTGTACCTTCTGGTGATAATTTGCTAATGATGGATGGTATGATATTCAGTTTCTTCATAAGTCTTCTAACATCATCTGTTCAAAAGCATAATAATGAAACAGTGGCCACTTCAACAGCTTGACTTTTACTACATTTATCAGTTTAGGCTACGTGCTATGGATGTCACTATCAATTATATTATTAATCCAGGAACTACAAATTATTTTGATGGTTATTAGGTTTTCACTGAACAATAGCAAACCATGCAGAGCCTTTCAAAGATTCCAAAACCATACAAGAAAAAAGATGAACTAAGAAAATACATACAAAATCGAAAACACTATGCAGCACGAAGTGCATATACAGTCATTTGCAAAAGTTTGAACACCCCCAGTCAAATGACATATTTTGTTCATTTGTAAAGTGAAAATAAGTTAACACATCCTCTATAATGAACTTAAATATGACATTTGTCCTTTGACTTTTAGTGCACAATTTACTTGTTTAACATATTTAAAAAAATAAAACATAAAATATGTACTGTGCCATAGTTTTGAATGTTTTATTTTTTCCCCAATAGGTCAAATTCAACAAATAAACAGTAATTGTGCATTCAAATGTGCATAAGTCTGTTTCTTTGTAGAGGATGTGTTAATTTATTTTCACTTAGAAAATCAATAAAACATGTCATTTTAGCCAAGGGTGCCAAACTTTTGCATAAGCATACCCATACTGCATGGGTGTGTCCTTCAGGAGAGCATATAAAATACGCATCATCATGCAAACTGACAACTAATTGCCGTCAATTAACCAATGATTTTTTTTTAATTAAAAGCAACTTTAGTTGAGCAATTATGGCAGCTGTGCGGAACTTTTTCTTTCCTAACTCACTGTTAGAAGCCATGACTCCCACAGCCATGAAAGCATTTCTGCGAACAGTCTTGTCTTCGTGAGAGATGAGGCGGGTGAGCGGCTCCACGGCTCCTAAACCCAGCAGAGAGCTCCTGTTCTCATCTCCTGGAGAATATAGTAAAAACACGCACAGAGAGGGAAAGGTCAGCACTCTGAGGCGCTAAGAGGACAGGCAGTGAGCATGAAAGGCCATTTTCCATTACACATGACTAGGTAACCTTTCTCTGCAAATCTGTGGATGGCCTCACAAGCTTTGGCCAGCACATCTTCTTCTGGAGAGTCGAGCATAAGGACCACCGTCGCTGCATTCTTACTCTCAATAGGCAGTGGGTCAAACTGAAATGATTGCAATAGAAATATAAGGGTAAAACTATTATGAAACCATTATAATGGTAAATATGTAAAAAAAAAAATAAACACAAACAAGGGCGTTTTTATTATGTAAATCATTATAATGGTAAATATGTACAAAACAAACAGATAAAACCATTAAATGGGTAAATCAACACAGACACAAACAGGCAGTGCACCAAACTCTAACCATTATAATAGTAAATATATATAAATATGAACGTATTATGAAGCCATCAGATAGATAAAAAAATTAACACAAACTAAATTATGTTTGGCAGACTTTACGTGTTTTAGGACAAACTGAAATTATAATGTTAAATATACTAAAAATAAACTTGCAGTGGTAAATATGCAACAATAAACACAAACAGAATCATGTTTATTGTACTTCAACAGACAGAGAGCCAAACTGACACTATTATAACGTTAACATGCAAGCATAGTAGGCGAGGTTGACAAGTTTACTTATTTTCAGCTCAGTTATGGGCTATTATCCCTGAGAAAAGACCTCACCGCATCTTTAGGAGGTGGTTCAGATTCTTTCTTTACTTTCTTCCCCATCCTGCTTAAGAAACAGCATTTAAGTTACATGGTTTACAACACATTATGCTTTTCACGCTAACAACAGTACGACTATTTCTTCTAATTCCAATGACAGAATGTCTGCTGCCAAAGTTACTTGGAATATGACTTTAATAACAGTTCGCTAACGTTTACTAAGTAAACAGAGACTAGGTTAGCTAACTAATAGCAAATGGTTAAGTTAGCGTTGTATCTCACAGAGAAATAGCAAGATGGCTACCGTTAGTTATCTAACGCTAGTTATCTAATTCTTTTTTCTTGCAACTTAATAAGTGAATGCAACAGCGAAAATACTATATACTAGCTACATACGGGGTCCAGAAAAATGACTAAAATAAATAAATAATTTGTGTAAGTTACATAAAGGCTTACATTTTACAACATTTTACAAGTCTTACTTTTATAACTCCAGATCCGAATATGAGCTTTCCTGTGTTTGGCTTGCAGTGGTTGCTGGGAAACCGAAGGAGCCTGAAGGTGGTTGCAGTACTGCCTGTGTGCTGTAGGGGGCATTTTAATTTTCAATGTAATTTTATTCATTTTATTTAATGTTCTACAGTTTTTATTAACCATATATATAGTTCCCTAATAATTACTAATTACTTTCACAGTAGGGTCTACACAATAAGGGGGGTTAGAAATATTTCTTAATTTCTATGTTATAATATGGTTGATACATTGTAATAGTTAAGTAGAGTCAACATATATCATTTCAGATTTTTATCTACTTTAGATGTTTTGTTTACAGTATATGAATAGCATGAATTTACAGATAACTGCATTCATGCTATAGATTCTTCTGAATAACCAGTGGTATGTGGTTACATTTAAGCGGTAAGTGATCAACAGAGTGTCTTACATTCTCCAGTGAGCTACATGTGTAGCTCAGTAGCTTTGTTTCATTTTTCATATGTAATTTGCAGACTGGCCAGAATAGTATAGCACATTTTACTACAAGGCAAAGCAGTTCACAGAATATAATATGTAGAGCTTCATATGCCTGGATGAAGATCTACTGTAGCTGTACTGTAGCTGAGGATCTAGCCTATATGTTATGGTCTTTACAGGGACAGCGCTCATGAATTTGTAAGGTTGGATCAAATTTCTTTACAGTCGAATTGGCTGATGGCTGATTTTTGTTGGAAATAGTTTAATTGGCCAAACTGGCACTTTATATTTGTAAATTAAAAATCTCTTGCCCTTTAACTTTAAATAAAATAAAGTGCTACATTGAAAGTAAACGGTATTTAGCTGTTTAGCACAATGAATGAATAATGAATAATTATACTATGATATTTGGTAGAGGTGTAGCGGCAGCATTCAAAAGCCAAAGCGAATGCACTTTTGTCATGAAAAGGCAAACCAGATCGTCCAAAATTAAAAAAATAATTGGCTGATTGCTGATTGTCTTTTAGGAAGAACACGGACTGTTAGAATCCATGTTCCTGTGAATGAACAATCCAGGTCAACCATTCTTCAAATGCAGGCCCCAGTTCCCCCCATCTAAGCACAATAAAATGGATAAACTCTTAATGGATTACGTTATTTCCCTAAAAATAAAAAAAATTCTTGCTGTATCGTATTACTTCACCAAGTGCAATGTTGTAATGCCCATTCTTCAGTGGGCTTTTTCCTCTGCTGCATTTAGGCCTCACGTAGGCCTTAAATGAGTAATGGTTTTACATTGTTATACTTCACAATTGCTTTAGTGCATATGTGACCCCATTCACAGCAGAGAAACAGTAATCTAAGCACCTTTCTGGGTACTTTCTGAGTTCTTCAATGTTACATATAAGGAATGTTACAGGCACAGTACAGGGCAGCCAATCTGAACAGAGCTCATATATATATATATATATATATATATATATATATATATATATGTGTGTGTGTGTGTATGTGTGTGTGTTGCAAAAGAGTTGTCAATTACAGTTTAGTTTAGAACTCTTTTTGATGCCAGAATAGATTGTTGTTTCGCTTAATTACAGTTTGTTGACTTATTCCATAACAGTTATATTATATTATAGTACATTTCTATATTATGTTTGTACAAAATGATTAAATTCTAATAATCTTCCTTTTTTCTCTTATTTAACGTTATATTTATAATTATTGGGGATTTTGCTAAAATGTGTATAACAACATACACATTGTAACATGCACTGAATTTCTGTATTAAAAAAGTACGATATTATGCCTGCTAATAATATTGTTTGTTTTGTGTTTTAATATGGACATATAAAGAATTACATACCAATATTTGATATTACATATCAGTAATTGTAAGAATACTTTGTTTACACCATTTTACATTTGAATACTGTATGTAAGCTATAGCCTCCTGACGTTGGTTGTCAGATGAAATTTGCTCCCCTGTATTATATTATATATGTATTACGTATATGCATATTGTATATCATGCATGCTGCATACAGCTTCACTTCATATTGCTAGGTATTGCTATCGGTAACGTGGCTACGGTATTTGTTATATTATCGATAGTAAACTGATTGTTGGTATCGCCTTTCCGTCCACCTTCCACCCCGAAGCTGTGGTCGGTAGGGGGCAGCACTGAGCGGGGCCGGAACCCCAGCTAGCTCACAGCAGCTAAACACGAACACGAACAGATTTTTATATTTTAGCTGTACAGCGTCACGCCCATTTAAATCGATTTTTCCGCTTCCTACTCGCCCGTAACAGCGCTTCGGTCTGCTATTTTTGCGTAAAGGGACAGACAAACGTCAAAGAGAAAGGGAGCAGCTTCGCTTTTAGACAAATTCCTGCTCTCAGCTGCTCGTTAGCCTGTTAGCCTGTCAGCGCTGACTGCCTTGGTTACGCTAGCGTCGATGCTAACGGCGTTAGCGCCGGGTGGGACCGCTGTTTCGACTCAATTCAGATCAGTGCGTCTTCGTTTTCGACTGCGGACTGACATCAGTATGAATATTGATTAATTATCTGTCTTCGATGGAATATTCGCGCAGGATATTGATAGGTTAGTCAGTGCTTATTTGCTTGTTGGAGCTAGCCGGGCTAGCCAGCTAACTGCGCTGCTGGCCCACAGCTGGGGTGCGGACTGACTGCGGGGGACGCAAGGGGAGACCAATGACCGAGGATCAAAACAGAGTATTATATTGAAGTTTAATGCTCTGTTTAATGCCAGCTCGCTGTTAGTTAGTCTTAGTTTCAAAAAAAGAGTTCAGACGAGCCACATAATAGAGGTGGTGAGTTGGCTTCGCCCAGCTATGCCAAGTGCCAATTACTGAGAGGGCAGTCTGAGCTCCACTAGCTTTCTCCAGAGGACTTGGCTTTGTGCAATAGTTTATTTATTGCTGGATTAAGTAAATCAAAAAAGCAAGAATGGCTACGGCTAGCAGCATTGCTGCCTCGATTGCGAGTAAAACGAAAACGAAGAAAAAACACTTCGTGGCTCAGAAAGTCAAGCTGTTTCGTGCCAGCGACCCTCTGCTTAGTGTGCTGATGTGGGGAGTCAACCATTCGGTGAGTGGGTTTTTTTTATTGTAGTGTTTTTAATTCATTGAGGCATTTGATGAGCTTTTGAAACTGTAACGTCCTGCATGCTTCCTATTTTGGACATTCATGAGTCGCACAGACCTGCCATAATCTCTCTATCCTCTAATTGAATTATACTATAGCTCTGTGCCGCTGAGTATTTTGATATCTGACAGCAGTCAATAAGCCTGTTAGTTTCTGTAAGCTTGAATGTGCGCTGTCGTGTTAATGAGAAAGGCAGTTGTACTGAACCCGCAGCGTGCCAGTCGGGTTTTGGATGAAGTCATAGCCTGTCATATATGGTCATATGTGTGAAATCTTTGCTTGAATGCTCCACAGTTCATCTTAGCTGAAATCTGGACCAGTGCTGATTGTTGACATATAACGTTCTATATAAAGTCATGTTAGTGAGTCTATATTTGCTCATGCTTATTAGCTCCTTATCAGACGTCAGACTGATGCTGAAGTGTTGAGGAAGCTGTGGATTGTGTGCATGTAAGCTGTGGAAAAGTCTTTTTTTTTTCTTCGTGCAGCTTTGAATTTTACTTCATAAGCTGCCTGATCGTGTTAGTGTTGGTCAGTTTAAGCACTATGGGTTAATTCCCAAGGTTAAAAGGCCCATATCATTGAAAAAAGAGTTTTCCCTACGGTTTTGAAATGTTGTTGTACTTTGACATAGTATATAAACAATGGTGAAGTTTACAGGTTTTCAGTCCCCATATATGGAAACGTAATTGCCAAAACAGCTAAATTTTGTAATGAATTGTTTTAGTGATGTGACAAAAAACCAATGCATTGCATTCAGGTGTAATACAGGAGTGCCAGTCAGAAGAGAGGACTTTTACATAAATCAATCTCAATGGCAAAGTAGCAAACAGACTGCTGAGTTCCAAGGTATAGAGTGAGATTGGAAAATGGTCATGTAAGAATGAAATAGGTGTGATATAGGCCCTTTAATTAAGGTGAGAAATCAGAAGCTAAACATCAACTAGATTGTTTATTCCAAGACAAGTGATCTGTGTCACAGTGAGGTGGTGCAAACAGCAGTAGACCTTGATGATTAGCTCTTTTGCATTAGATAGTGCTTGTGCTCTGTATTTGTGATGATGCACCCAAAAAGACCCAGCAGGAAACCAAATGGTTACTTACTCATGCACGATTCATTAAAAATACCCACTATTTAGTAACCTCTATGCACGTACAGAAAAGGAAAATGAAAATGCACAGCTATGAACATTCAGTGAACATTGTGAAAAGGCATGTTTCTTCATAGCTACAGGGTTGAATATGATTGGATAATGTTATAGCCGTTACATTGTTTACACTATTTAAAAACAAAATGCAGCAATAAATCTGATTATACAGTGTGAATGCTGCGAGTAGCAGAAGTTTACTAGTACAGAACTCTTTCCTGAATACCTGTCACTGATTAACTCATGAATTATTTATGAAAAGAGTCATAAACCCATGCAGTTCAGTCAATCATCAGTCAAGATGTCAGAGCTGTAATGTGTTTCAATAAGGTCTTAAAACTGGTGTTTTAAAGGGCCTATGTCCTACAATATTCTCATTTGTTTTTTCCCCAAGGTCTATTTTTAACAGTGTTTACGTACACAATCAAACTATTTTATCAAACTATTTTATTTAAAAAATAAAATAAAGATTTTTTCATTGCATGGGCTCTTCAAAGTGTCTGCTCTTAAGTTAATTGTATTTCAGTGCCTTAAAATGACTGCTTTGACAGTTCTGATAGATTTGTGAAGTTGCCTTGTGACAATGACTGTTGTTAAACGTGATAAATGGATAAACTGAATTAATAAGACAGAATGTCATGAAATATTGTGATTCATATCATGAGTTATGAAAATGCCTTGATGTCGTAATGTTATATTTTTGCCATATCGCCTACCTGTAAATCCAAATATGCTAGCTATGTCAGTGCTGATTATTTAAGTGAACTTTTATTTTGTCTGTTGTGTGTTTATGCATAACTACGTATAATCTGTAAAATATTTTCATTTAAAAATGTGCCATTTAAAGGGATTTTTTATACATGGCTATTTTCTGATCTCTCTTTATCCCTTAGAATTGAACAGGTTATTTTGTTACTGTGCCTTTAAGACTGGAATATGTAAATTGGTTCTGATTGACTGCTGTATTGTACCTTATTCAAAAACATACTCATAGCTGAAACACTCCTTATAACTTCAGAGTGAATGGGCGGGGTTAAACAGCTGTATGCTGAAGAAGTGGATGTATGTAAATGTGATTAGCAGAAACAGTGAATTAAAAACAAGCTGTTTTTCCAGCACAGTTTCCATATATGGACTGGGGAGTGAGCGGCTTTGTTTGAAACTCTAACAATGTTTATCCACTATGTCAAACTTTCTAATTCAAAAAAAGTCTAGGGAAATTAGTCTTTCCATGAAAAGGGCTCTTTGGTTTAGCAACAAAAGTAAAGTTGCACTGATATCTCTACCAGATTAGTTGAGATATTAGCACTCAGGTGTAATATTGAATATTAGTAATAGCAAATTCCTTTACAATGTTTTAAAGCACAGTATTGCTTGCTGTCCACTGTTTTGTGGATCACATACAGCAGAGAATGATGCACGGCAGTTGAATGTTAAATTGCTATAAAAGGCTGTTCTTAGTTTCTAGACTGTAGCAGTTTTTATAGTTTTTTTCATGCTTCTGAAAACATTCACACAAAGTTAATGGACCAGTAAAAAGCCATTCATTTGACATTGAAGTCAACATGAAATCAAGATGTCACCTTTTTTTCCTTGCTAGTAGAGTCATATTAAGTGCAATCCATCATATCATTTGAAAGAATTCTTGTTTTCTTAAAATGTAATATCAAAATCAAGTGAGTTTAGCCCTGCCTCTAAAACAAATTTTTCTAATTTTTGATTATGTCACGGTGCACCAGTAGGTGGGCCAAAAAGCCCCTCTATATCAGTACTGTTATGCTGGTTTCATGAAATATATACGGCTCACTATCAGTAAATGCTTGAGACGAAGAATCGCAGTTAGTAATGGAAAGAGAAAAAAAATACAGCGCAAATAGTAACCAGCTAAAGAGTTCATTTGCAACTTGTTAACATAACAGTTAGCATAGGTTTATTTCTGTACTCTAAGTTTTTATTCAACACAATGTGCTTTCTTTTAGGTTTTGTATTACATACCATTAATCTGAAGTATGTTATATGTACCATGAATAATTCAGCTGAGGATTCTCAAAATTGAGTGCACTTAAAATATCTTAGGCGGTCTAACCTGTTACTTCTGTTGCCAGACCATCAGCAGGAGGCTATAACTCATCAGACTAACTCACGGACTCATGTCTAAGTGGCTTGAGGCAGGGCGTGGGTCAGAAGCTTCTATGTAATGCTTGCTAAATGCAAAGTACAGCTGGGCAGTTTCAGAATGGTTTTTGAGTTTTGTTGTAGCCCAAACCTTCACTAGTACAGAAATTAGGGGTGCGGTGATACGGCAGGTGTAATTATAAAATGTAGAAATTGGGCCTACATTTACTTGAATTTGCATTACAGAGTAATACAACGCTTGTTTATAGATGGTTACAAATGCAGTAAAATTAATAATTAGTTAATAAATGCAAGTATATTAGTGCAGTAAACTTAAAAAATCTGCTTTTCCAGAGTACGAAAGTGACATCATTAAATATTAGTTGAAATATTGGTCAAATTTAAACATTGATCCAATGTTGATGTTTTTTTGTAGCAAATATTTCCCAATATGGATATGATTCTGGTGTCATCTTACATCCCAAACAGAAATACACTACAGAAATTGTGAAAGAAAGGACAACAAAAGTCTTATCGTAATTTATTTTTTCCTTGCTATGCATTGTGCGTTGATGCTGTGCATTCGTCTGCATCTGTTGAAACTTTAAATCAGATATTATCTATGACTTTCCCATCTAATAGACAGAGACTACACTGCTCAAATGCATCTTTTTTTTGTTAGCTTAATTTATGGAAATGTTTAAATGTATGCCATCATTGACATTTCAAATTCCTTACCTCTTATAACCTCATATAAGTTTGATTGACACAGACATGATTAAAAAGGAATTCCCTCCTTTTTTTCAAAAGTTCTGCATAATTAAATGATTAAAAGAAACAAACTGAACAAAATCATTCAGAGTTGTTTGATGTGAAATGCTCACTTGCTTAGAGTCGTTCTGGTGGTGATAGGAACCAGATATCTGAAGTGTGTAATGCCTCTAGAAACTTTCTCTCATTATGTGAAATGGTTAAGAAAACACTACCTGATTGATTCCTGAGATATTGTTTTATAATACTTTTGAGAAGATTTTTTAAAAAGTTTTTTTTTTATAACATTAATGGCGGAAAGGGACATGCAGGTTGTTGTAAGGTAAAATAAACCATGAAGACTGTTCCAGTTTTGCCATCGTTTATCATTAACAACACTCCATATAAAAAAGCAGAAGACTTGTGTTGGTTCGCCGGTTGTAAAATGGTTATATTTGTGTTGTAGACATCATGATCCCTGGTCCTGATGGAACCGTAAAGATGTAAACATTTTAAATAATCGGTGACGTTCCCCTTTAATATCCAATATTATTGTTATTATATTTGCAGTCCTGAAAAACATAAAAACCTTTGATAAATGTATTACATTGTGATCCTGGGCTTGTTTAGACAACTGACAATGATCACCCTTAACAGGAAAGGGAAGAGTTTTGGAGAGGAAGTATGCAGTTATAGCTTTCTGAACTACGACTTATTCCTGGAATCTCAGCGTTATGAGTTATGAGTCATGATACATTTTGTGTTCTGAAAGTAGAGCTCTAATAGTTTGTATATATAATAGTTTTCATGCTACTGTATAATCATCAGTGCAGTCAGTGATAGACTTGTGAGATCATGTGTTGTATACCATCGTCTGATCGTGGCTGTCAGCGATTAATGATGCTATTTTGCTTCTGGTCAGAAACAAAC